GTGAGAGAACGCCTGTCCTGTGGAGAGCAGGGCAGTGAGGCTCCAAGGCCCGGACGCCCCGGAAGGGGCTGCTGGTGGGCCACGCTCCGGTGGGAGGAGGGGCAGCTGTAGGTCATCTGCCTGGGTCCTGGCCTTGGTGGGGCTGTTCTGTTCCCTGGGGTGCTTTGCCCAGGGGTGACTTAGACCTAGTTCCCCTGGGCCGGCTGCTGGACTCCTGATGGCCTCCGGAGGGGTGGTGGGCAGGGGCTTCACAGGACCGCACATTCCCTGCCCTCCTCGCCAAGCTGGGGAACGCAAGGGAAACCCCCTCGGTGCTGACAGTAGAACCAGACAGCCTGTGGGTGTTTCCTCTCTGCAGTGGTTCTAGCAGGTCAGGGGTGAGTGGGTCCCAGAGAGGATATCACCCATCAGCTCATTTTATAGATTAGGTCACTGAGCCTAGCGGGGGAAGGGGCTTGTTCCCGCATCCCTGATGACAAAGACCCAGTGTCCCTGGCATCTCTTCCAGAGGCTGTGGCCTTGGTGACCTCCCTCCCTGAAGGCACTTGGCTGAGGTTTCACTGTGCCTGTTAGTGGTGAACATGATTTTGGGGCTGCCATCTTGAAACCACACACAGACTTATTCACTGTGTGTGTGTGTGTATATGTGTGTGTGTTGATTTCCCTCTGAATTCCCAAGCCAGGCGGGTTTGGCTGACTAGTTGTACTGCCTAGGAAGTGGTGCATCTCCCTGATTGATGTTGTGTGGCATTGCCCATGATGGCACTCAGGCCTCACATGAGATATTGAAGGGTGGCAGTGTGACCCGCCGTCCACACGGGCTGCAGTCCAGCACCATGTCCTCACCATGGCACTCAGCGTCCCCTTCTCAGTGTGCCCACACTAGAGGCCTCCGACCCTCCCCGGGGATCCCAGAGCCTGGAATGGATTGCAAAGCACAGGCCCCGAGCCTCCCCAGATCTTTACCAGGCAAGTTGCAGGGCAAGGCATCCTCCCGTTACAGGCGACAGGCATGTCCTGATGCCTGGTTCCACCCAGATTCACTAAAAATAGTCTTTAAACTTATATTTTTAAAAAACTTCCTCAACAAAGCTCTAAAACTCCCTGGAACATGTGAGGGGACAGGACTAGAGCTTCTCCAAATGCAGGTGGCCCCCTGGCTGGCTTCTGCAGAATGGACTGGTGCCTGCAGGTGAAATGGTGGGGTCCCTCTGCTTGGACCCCTAATGCGGCCTAGCCACTTGTCACGCTGAATCCCCTGAATGGGGCAGTCGTGATGCTCTGGAAGCTGGTTGAAGAGAGGGGCATCCTTCTATTCCAATAATTGGCCCGTTGGGCGTTGGTAAGTCTGTTTGGATTTTTATAAGGTCCCAGTAGTCACTAGTAGCTTGATTATTTGCTGGGCTGATCCCCTGCAAGTGGTCTGGCCATGCACCAGGTCTCCAGGGGTTAATACAGGTCATCAGGACACCAAACCAGTGCTGATGGGCAACAGGCTTGTTTGCTTTTGGGAACCTTTCGATTCATGAAGTTGGAAGTATGTACCACTAGCAAACCGTAAAGCGGTGCATTGGAGAGTAGACCGAGCCCACGGGAGTGGCGTGGCAGCATGGAAGGAATGAGAAGCAGCTTTGTCTGGTCTGAGCTGTGTGTGCTGAGGCGGGCAGGACAGCACCCTCATCCTGGAATCACGGAGTTTGCTGTCCTCCAGAAGCCCCTCTGGTCTAATGGTCTGCGATCCTCCCGTCTTGATTTTTTTTTAATGCAGATGAGACCCTGTTGGGGCGAAATGAAGGGAAACTCATACCAGTTTATTAACATTAGATGAATACTAGCACCACTGAAGGCTGGGATGCTCTCGGCGGTGCCTGCAGGACCTGCTTTTTTCCACACTTTGGGAAAAGGAAACGCTGTCCCATGGTAGAGAGAGAGAGGCTGGGGTGCACAGCAACGCTGCCAGGGCCCAGCAGGGCCGGTTCCTCTGCTCAGAGTTAGGGGCTGGAGCAAGGTCTGCTTGGTGTCTGGATGGGGCCACCCCACTCTAGCAGAGTCACCGACCTCTTCCCCACCACCCACCCACCCACCCACCCACTCCTCCCGGCAACATCATTCTGGAAGCGTTTGTTTATTAGGGGCCCGTGGCTCTGTAAGTATCAAATGATCATGACAGAAAAGTTGCCATCCCTCCAAAAGGCTAAGCTAGACAGAAATAACTCAGGACAGAAAAACGATAAACTAAGAGGTGCCCAGAGCTGACTGGGAAGTGTAGAAGACTGTTCACACCAGATACCTCCGCGCAGTAAGAAAAGTGGCGCTGATGTGGACCACACAGGGAGAGTCACTTGGCTCCCCGGGAGTGCAGAGAGCTTTTCCGAAGCGCTGGAGTTACATGTGCAAGCCTCAGCGGTGGCCCCACACTGTGGATTCGCTCTGGGAGGCCCCGCGGGTCTGTCCCATTCAGCTCTGGTACTCCCCATTTGACAGCCAAGAGAAGGGAGCTTTGGAGAAGTTCAGTCGCAAACGTGGGGTGAACTGCCATCTGCCGACCTGAGAGCCAGCTCTAAGCCACGTCCCACCCTGCTGAGGGTGGGGTCTGCTTGGAGAGCCGGGCTTCATGCTGTTGGCATAGCCCTGACCCCGGGCCACAACGCTGGCCTCTCTCAGTTTCTGCTTGGGGAGCTTGGCTTTCTTATCTTTACCTCCACTCAGTTTAGGGAGTAACCGGCCCATTGCATTCAATGCTTGGCACAGAGCCAGAACTGCAAAATGATGCCCCCCTCGCCCATGGGCAGCCTGTCATGTATCTGTTCCGATCAGATCATTTGAAAAAGCTTTAGGGATGAAAAACAGCGACTGTACCGATGGTCTTATGGGACGTGGACCCAGACAGTCAAAAGCCACAAAGGTCTAGCCTGTTCAGAAGAAGTTCGCTCTTTGGGAAATATTGGCTGAAGTCACAATTATGATTAATATTAGAACTGTGAAGTGTAAAACTGTTAGAGTTGGAAGTGACCTTCCAACTTTAGCACCACCACTTTGCGGAGGGGGAAATACAGCCTAGAGAGAGGCGGGACTGTGCCCAGGATAGGGTCGGGACCTGACTGAACTGGGGCCTGCAGGACACCTGGCCCACCCTCGACCCCCCTTGACTCAAGGTCATACTTGGAAGGGTCTCCTGCTGGGCTTTATTTGTCTTATGCCTAAAGACAAGGGTGACCCTGGAGGAACCCATAACTGAACTTCATTGAATTTGACAGTTTTTTAGTCTTTCTGTTTAAGTCAGAGCATGGAGTAGTCGTGGAGGAGAGAACTGCATGAGTGTGTGTGAGTGTGTGTCTGTCTGTCTGTGTGTCTTTATGGGGCTGCATTGCAGGGTTCTTTTTGGTTGTTTTGGTTTTTGTCTGTTTTTTTGCACGGGGTAACAAACAAGTGAATCAAGGTTTGCAGGGGATTTCTTTTGCCCTCACTGCGGGAGAAAAGGGGCGCTCTGAGAAAATACCCGCGGTGTGGCGCGGGGCGGGAATTCTGCTTAGATCTGCCTTTGCCCACTTTCTATGTGCTCCCGGGCACGGCTGTTGGGACCCCCACCTCTGGGGCTCAAGTCTCTTTCAGGTACTCACACAAGTCGAGCCCTGGGGCCCTCAGGGAAGATGTTTCTCAGTTCTCTGGGCCCTTTGAGTCGGGGCATCTTCGTCCTTGTCTGTGCACCAGCCTGCGGGGTCAGTGGGCATGCAGCTGTGCAGAGCACACCTGCCCCAGCTTCTGTGCCCTCCGTTCCCAGGACAGCCTCAAAAGAATCTTCAGCAGCCTTATGGCACCACTGCCAGTTTTTGCACGTGGGAGTCAAGGCATCCCTGCTAAGCTGACTTGCACAGGCAGAGCCCACAGGGGACGGCCTTCATGTCATCACCATAGGGTCTACAAAAACAGCCACCACATCTCAAAATTATGCATCAGGGGATGCAAGTGCACATTTGAGTGACTCACACCCACACTTCAATCTTTGACGGCCTCCCCTCCTGACCGCAGAGCAGAAGCAGCCATTCCTTTCTCCCCGTTTCTGGAACTCCTTGCACAGACCCCAGGGGCAGCTCTCTTCACAGTTAACTGAAGTCCACTGAGAGCTCGCCTCTCCACTGTCCCCCATGTCTGTATCCATGACCACGCCTCCTCCACCACCCAGTGTCTGTCACACACCCACAATGTTTATAGGGTTGAATAAAGTAGATAAAAAATGGGCCCGGCTTCCCAACACCAGTAGGTGCATTTCCACATTTCTGCTTCTGCTCAGGACCCTGCTGTGGAGGAGTGGGACATGCCCAGAGACTCTGATGGCACTGGGACCACTGTCAGCTTTGTCCTGTGGTCACCGGGTGGGAGAAAACCTCTTCTATCCGTAACACTGCCCTTCCTAGGTGCCCCAGTCCTGGCTTCTCTGGTGCCAGCCTTCTGCCCGCTGGCTTCACAGGCTCAGCAGAACTTAGACATTGCATTGGCTAACTAAACACGAGCAGAGTTACTAAATTTTTAAAAATGTTTGTGCTTGCCACCTTCATGGACTCTTCCATCCATAATACCTCTTCTCCTTCAGTATGTTCAAAATAAGTTTTTCTTTATGAAGTATTGGCCTATTCCCAGGTTTCTAGAGTATACCTGCTGGGGCAAGCAAAGGTGCAGCCGTACCTGAGATGCTTTGGTGGCCTCTCTGTGCAAACCAGGCAGTCGGGAGAATAAGCTGGTGCCAGACACAGTGACAGGATTCGGTTTGGTCCCTTGGCTTCTTTTCTTGGCAAGTGTGTGGCTGGACAGAGCGTCTTCCCCAGAGGGGACTCTGCAGCTCTCCAGGGGACAGACAGGGGGGTGCCTGTAGGGGGGCCGCCTGGCTTCTCGGCCTCGGGGGCCCTCCCAGATTCTCAGAGGGTCTGCCGGTGGCTGGGGGCTGCACCTGGCCCACTCCCAGGCATGCAGTGTGCCACCTAATGCATTTCTTCTCCCCACAGCCAGCGTGCCACCCAGTGAGACAGAGTCTGTGAACACAGAGAACGTAAGTGGTGAAGGCGAGCGTCCTGGCTGCTGTGGAAGTCTTTGGTGAGTGTGGGGGCCCCCACACCCCACAGCACCTCCTATTCTTAAAGTGGCAACTGGGAGGGGGCCACTCCGGATTTCAGCGGGACCCTGGGCGATAGCCTCAGGAGTGAGACAGTAGCTGGGCTCAGCCTGGACCCCTGCTTGCCCCCACCAGCCCCGGCCCCCAGCACTCCACATGCCTCTTACCCCTGCCGAGGGGGGCCTGTTGCAGGCCGTGCCAGGTAACCCAGCCGCTCCCCTGTGTCCCCAGGTGCTGGTGGAGAAGAAGAGGCGCAGCCAAGACGGGGCCCTCGGGGTGCCGGCGGTGGGGGTAAAGGCCCCATCCCCTCCAGGCTGGTGCTGGCACCAGTGCTTGGCAGAGCTCGCTTGCAGTGTGTGCCCATCCCAGTTTCTCTCCCCTGGGGTTTCCCCGCCTGGTGCACAGCAGCCAGATGAAACCTGGCCCTCTCCTCTGCTCCTGGCACTCGGGAGCCTGCACCCCCTCCTCACAATGGAGGCACCACCCCAACAACACCCGCTGGCTTTTGTCTAGACAACTGGGTTGCGCGGGGGGCACTGCAGGGTGGGGGGCTGTGCAGAGCGCCGCCTGCTTGGGGAGCCCCGCGCGGCTGTGTTCTGTGCGTGCTTCCTGCTGGGTCCTCTGGGCTCACCTCTGTGCAGAAGAGGACTTGTTTTTGAGGAAGTTTGATCTCATCCTTGGCAGAGGTCCATGATTACCTGCCATGGACAGTTTAAGATGCGAAGTTGCCCCTGTTCTCCTGCTGCAACCTTCCTGCAGCACTGCGGGGCAGGGAATGGGTCTGTCGCCCCTGCCTGGCAGATCAGATGAGAACGCTGAGGCTTGGGCGCGCTGCCCACCCACACTTAGAAGCAGGCCGGGCTCCTGGCACCCCTTCCGCTGCCCCAGCAGCACGGCTGCTGTTGAGATGAGTGGCTCTGACTCAGGCAGGGGAGGCCATGCTGACTTGGGTTTGGGGGTATTGGACTGGGGGGCGGAGGAACCCCGGCCTCACCATGCGCGACACGGCTGCTCAGAGCACCCGGCTAAGCGTCTTCTCCTGCCCCGGGGCCTGGGGGGTGCTCAGCCTGGCCCGCCTGGCACTAGCAGCCCTCGCCCGCTGCTCTGCTCTTAGCCCAGCTGGCGCTGCGGGAACAGGGATGCTGAGGCCAGGCTTGGGTGCACGGCTTGTCGGGCATCTCAGTGGGAATGCCGGGGAGAGTGTGCTCGAGCCTTCCTAACAGGAATCGTATTCTTTCTGTCTTTGTTTCAGTCAAGCCATCTCAAAATCCAAGCTCAGGTCAGTATCTTCCTTGTATTTTCCTCTTAGGCCTGTGTGTTGGTTTTCTCACATTCTGACTTCTGCATTTTGCGTGGAGTTGCTCTAGACTTGATTTGTGCCCTGTGGGCTGGGACATTCATAGTGAAGATCGTCCAGGAAACATTAAGCACCTGCCTTGGAGAGCAGTGTAGTGGGTGCTGAAGGTTGCACCCAAAACAAGCTGACAAGAGAGATACTTCTTGTCACCTTTCTGCTTAGAAGTTTTCCATGGAAGGATGCTCAGCAGCTCTTTGTGGTGCCACTGTTCTGTTTTCTTGCTCTGGGTGAAGGTTGCCCCTGAACAGTTGGTAAAAATTTATTGAACCATATACTTGTAACTTGTGTACTTTCCCATATAAATGATATTTTTCAACTACAAATGACATTTTACCACTATATACAAAAATTAAGTTGACATGGATGTAGAGCTAAATGTAAAACCAAAATCTGTAAACATTCTAGAAGAAAACAGGAGGGAAATCTTTGTGACCTTGGGTTAGGCAAAGGTATCTTGGCTATCGCCAAAGCACTGGCCATAATATCAACAGAAAGACCTGATTAATTATTCACCAAAATTAAAACTCCTGCTCTTTGAGAGAAAATAAAAATATAAGCTCTAGACTGAAAGAAAAAAATATTTGCAAAACACATTTGATAAAGGACTGGTGTCTAGTACTTATGTGTAAAGAATGGCATGACTAATAAGAGCAGCCCTGTAAAAATATGGAATGGATTTTTAACAGGAACCTCACCAAAGAAGAGAGACGGATGGCAAACGGCACGTGAAATGACCATCGGTCATTAGGAAAAAGCAAATTCGAGTTGCAAGATACCACCACACACCCATTTAGAAACATTTTTTATACCTATGGATTAAATTTAAAAACCTGAGGATACCAAGTTCTAACAAAGATGCGATCATTGGGAATCCTCATCTATTCCTCTCCGTCAGATGACATAGCCATTTAAACAATAAGTTGGCAGTTTCTTATAAACTTAAAGATATATTTACCATGTGGCCCAGCAATCCCACGTCTAACGTATTTATTTGTGTAAGAGGAGTGAAGATATAGGCCTACACAAAAAGTTTTTATGTAAATATTTGTAGCAGTTTTATTAATTATTGCCAAAAACCTCAAATAACTCAAACACCCTTCAAATGGGGAACGGGTGAACACATCATAGTTCTTAATAATGCTCACCAATGGGAAGGGACACTACCAGCAGATACAAGGACAACGCAAAGTGTTTTTGCTGAGTGCAAGGAGCCCATCTCAGAACGCTGAACAGAGTCATGGATCAAGAGTGACAGAAAGCGGATCAGGGGCCAGGGAGGGGCATGGGTTAAGCACAGAGGGCCACGAAGGTACTCCGTCCTCCGAGGAATGGAAATAGTCCACGTCTCGGTTGTGGTGGCCTAAAAAAAGCACATTTTACCATAGGTAAATTATAATCAATAAACCTGACTTAAAAATAAAAAAGCTTTTCCATGACTCTGTTGCCAGAGGGCGTAGGAATTCCCTGCTAATTTGGCCCCTTCTTCTGACAGCCCCCAGACTCCCTACCTCACAGCTGCACTGCACAGCTCTCAGCTCTCAGTACGCTTTTCCTGTCCACCCCAGCCCCTGCGGCCGTGCGGTCTCCTCTGGGTGGGGGGCCCTTCCCTCTGCCCCCTGGCGAGCTCTTCAGCTAGGAGAGCCAGCTGGAAGCTCAGCATTTGCCGCATCCTTCTCCTTGCCCCTGGGTGGGCGCCCTGGGTGTGGCTTGGCATGGATTTATGCTTGTTATTTGCCACAGCCCTGTCTGCTTTTCAAGCTCAGGGGCCACGGGAGCAGGACTTCATCATCTCCACATGCCAAGGGCCCGGCACTCAGCACCCAGTGAGCGGCAGGCTGGGGAGTCCAACAGGATTTCAGGGCTGTGACCGTGAGGTCTCCTGGAGTTGGGAGACCCCTGTGACTTGTTACCGCAGCATAAATAGACCCACCAAGGCTGGGTCTGGCTCACACCACCTTGCTTGTATGCACTGAATCATGCATCACAGGAGAAACCCGGAGGGGACAGTCCTTAGTGTCTTCCGTGGGATTTTTCTGCACTGGTCTGATTTCCAGCCGATGTTACCATTGGAAACCACATAGGAAGCACAGTAACAAATGCACCTTGCGTGTTCCAGGTCTTGGCTAAAGAATCGGCCTGACTCTGTCCAGCCCCTACGTTACAGTGCTTTGAGCACAGCAAGGCAGCCGAATCAGCCAGCGCTGCCGTGTGGACGCGGCCTGAGAGTCGGCTGTCTCAGGCCCCTAGAGGAAGTGCCCCCCTCTGTCATGATCACAACATGGGCAGGGCTGACATTGCTGCTCAGCCGGCCCTGCCCGGGGACCCACTTCCCCAAACCCTAGTGCGGCAGGGAATGATTTTCACAGAGAGACAGGCTAAGGGAGAGAGAGCTTCCCCTAGTTATCCACCAGAACCAAAAGTCAGTAGAGGACATGGTACTTGTCTGTTTGGCTCAGCTCATTTTATTTGTATGAAAACATGATTCAATGTTGGCTCTTTCCTGAAGGTATATTTTGAGCATCACTAGTTAGAAAGGGCACCTGATGACTCATTACAAAGACTCATGTCCTACTCAGCTTTGACAACTCTGCCAGGCTCAGGGGAACGTCCCAGATTTAAGGAAGGACTGAACGTGTCCCTAAAAAGGAAAAGTGGCTCCGGAGCACTTTGCTGCCTGGTGAATTCTGTGCAATGAAGTGGCTCTCTGCACCCATAGTGTGGGCAGGCTCGCGTGCCACACTGCGTGTGTGTGCCATCAGTTGAGCATCTGCGTATGAACAGGTGAATATCTAGATTCTCTAACCAGTTTGAGAACCGTGTATGACAGATGATGCAGTTACCTAAAGCCATCGGAAGGGAATGTAGCGCAATCAAGTCGAGATTACACTTTGGAAAGTTGTGTTTTAAGACCAATGTAATTTGTGCTATGAAGTCTGTAACCTCAGTGCTGTTCGATCTCATCTTTACATCCTGCACCCAACCCAGCCTGGATCTCCGGAGGGAAAGACGAATGATCAGGCTCTGTGTCTGCCATGCAGGCAGTGATGTTTGCTTCTCTTTCAGCCGACGCTGGCGTCGCTGGAACCGATTTAATCGCAGAAGATGTAGGGCTGCCGTGAAGTCGGTCACGTTTTACTGGCTCGTTATTGTCCTGGTGTTTCTCAACACCTTAACCATTTCCTCCGAGCACTACAACCAGCCTGACTGGTTGACACAGATTCAAGGTACAAGCAGAGGGCCATTCTCCTTTTCTTCTGAATTCGGGATTCCCGAGGCTGTCCGGCTGCATTTTAGTCTTGCCTGATCCATGTATAGAGCACAGGAATGTTTCTAGTGACACTAACTTGGAAGACAGCAGAACTGCCCAAATGCAAGTTGTGCCTAGAGGGGGTGCAGTCCGTGGTGTGTGGTGAGTCAGGCACCTGGTTGCAGATTAATGCCAGAGCATCTCATTGTCTTAACCCTGTGACACCTCGGGATCAAGAAATCTTGCCGTTGGAAGGGACCTCATATACCTTCTCCCCGCCCACACTGGGAGCTTTATTTTCCCCTATGGTATTCTTGGCAGGCCTGCTTGTTCCTCTACCTTGAATGCCCCAGCAGTGTGGCATGGTGCCCGCCCCAGAGACAGCCCATTCTGAGCTTGACAGCTTTGGGCCATTGAGAGGTCCTGCCTTGCCTCGAGTCAGATCTGTTTCTGCCCAGCTCTCCAGCCTGCGGGGGGTATTTTCTGCTGTTAGGTGTAACCTTGGTTGACAGCTGCTCCTTTTTTTTTATCATAGCGCTGTAAGCAAGGTCTTTTTATGACTGACTTAAACAAAACACATAGTATGATGGTCTAAATGCAGAATCATAGGCTTTTAGGGCTAGAAAGTACCAGAGATTATATGTTAGGCTGCCCCTCCCTATTTTGTAGTGAGTGAAGCTGAGGCCCGGAGGGTGGAGCAGAGGTGGTGACTGGGGCGGTACTGACCCTGAGCCAACAGGCCGTGAACGCTGGGGCCACACTCTGGGCTGGGGCGGCAGCGGTGACAGCTGCAGGGGGCCTGGGGCATCTCCCAGGACCTGGCGGGAGGGAGCTCAGGGGGCAGGGAGGGCCCGAGCCACCCTGAGACCCCCGTGCCTTTCCAGATACTGCGAACAAAGTGCTGTTGGCTCTGTTCACCTGTGAGATGCTGGTGAAGATGTACAGCTTGGGCCTGCAGGCGTATTTTGTCTCTCTGTTCAACCGGTTCGATTGCTTCGTGGTGTGCGGCGGGATCACCGAAACGATCCTGGTGGAGCTGGAGATCATGTCTCCCCTGGGGATCTCTGTGTTTCGTTGTGTGCGCCTCTTAAGAATTTTCAAAGTGACCAGGTAAGGACACGTGTGTCTGCGGGCGGTTCCGAGCTTGAGGTGCAGCCAGCGGCCCTGGTTGGGGGCGCTGCTCCGTCCCACGGGCCTTCGGGGCTCACCCCCTCTTGGCTTGTAGGCACTGGACGTCCCTGAGCAACTTAGTGGCGTCTCTGCTAAACTCCATGAAGTCCATCGCTTCGCTGTTGCTCCTGCTCTTTCTGTTCATCATCATCTTTTCCTTGCTCGGGATGCAGCTGTTTGGCGGCAAGTTCAATTTTGACGAGACGCAAACCAAGCGGAGCACCTTTGACAACTTCCCGCAGGCACTCCTGACCGTGTTCCAGGTGTGTCCGCCCACCCTCCCCTGCCCCAGGGGATGTGCCTCCGTGTCGGTTCATAGCACAGGGGCTCCGAGTGGCCCCACTTCTGTAACCCCTGCCACCTTTACACTCTGGTCAGTTTTGTGCCATTCGAGCCCTCCATGGACTCTGAAACCTCTATGGGACGACAGATGGGCTTGTTCGGTGCGAGCTGGACCGTGAAAGCAGCTCACACCAGAATTAGGCAGCCGCCTGGGGGCTTCGGCATCCACGGCCAGCTGAGCCCAGTTCTGGCTTCTTAGATTCTGACAGGCGAGGACTGGAACGCCGTGATGTACGACGGCATCATGGCGTACGGGGGCCCGTCATCTTCAGGCATGATCGTCTGCATCTACTTCATCATCCTCTTCATCTGCGGCAACTGTATCCTTCACGCGGCTTTGCCGGCATCGTCGCGTCGTTTGGTGTTCCCCTCCCCGTGTGCCTGTGCCGTGGTAGCTGCTGTGTGGAGTGAGGCACTACCTTGTCATCTCACCGTCCCCTCCCTTCAGCTGCTGGGGGCAGCGTAGTAGAGGCAGAGGCCCCGTGAAGCTTTGGGGCGTGAGAGCAAGCAGTGGGGAAGGAGCCTCAGGTGGTGCGTGGGCTCACAGTGCCAGCGGCCACTCGGCTGGACGTCACAGCGCCCGCTCGGGTCCCAAGGGGCAGCACGGGGCAAAGCCGGGTTGTCCTCTGTGCTATCATGCTTGAGAGGCTAGGGGTACGGGTGTGTGTTTTTAAGACCCTTCATAACGGGTGGGGTCCCATCTTCAGTGGGCTGACCTCCACTCCCCTGGACCTGATTTTGCTTTGCTGGTGTGCACACCTCTGAGTTCAAGCATCCGTCGGCTGGCTGCTGTATCAGGCTGCGTAACTTTCTCAGAATCGTCTCCTCCATTTCCCTGCAAAGAGGTGCTCATTACTCCTAGACTTCAGAAAATTCAGACCTCTCTTCACCTCAGTTGAAGCTTTTGTGACCCTGTAACCCTTGGCTGTGTCTGCTTTGTCTCTGTGCCCGCCCTGCCTAGTGGGAGGCCTGACATACAGAGGCCCTCTGTCAGTGTCTGGCGAAAGAGAAGTTGTATCAACGTGCATACCACCTCTTGGTCTTCATCTTTTCATTTTAGGGAATCTTATTCTGGATTTGTTCCCTGAGAAGTCCCAGGTTCCTTCCGCTGTTTCCTCTTCATCTCCTCGGGCTTGTTGGTGAAGGTCTGTCAGTGTGGAAACGCCAGTGCCCACCTGTAAGGATGGTGAAGCCCCCATCTCAGCATGCAGAGACCCTGCTGGATGCCCATGCAGCTCTCACCCCCGGGCTGCAGGGAGCCCCCTCTGCCCGTGCACTGCCCAGAGGCGAGCTCTCCTGCCAGATTCATCCTTAGGTCTCTTGCTGCATGTGGGGTCTGCTCTCTGCTGGAGCTTGGCGCAGGCACTTCTCCATCTTTCCAACCAGATGATAAACTTCTTGAGTCAGGAATCTCTTCTTCTTCATGTTCACTGCACTTGTGGCTTATGGTGCAGGGTATTGCACGTCATCAGCCTTTGATAAATGTTTATTAAATGAATGATCAGTATTTGTTTTTTCTGTTTTCCTTGTGATTAGCTCTTTAGGCTATAGCAGTATACCAGCCTGAAGCCTTGGAGAAGTAGGCCCCTGGCCACACTCCCTCTGATTCCATGTAGTGTTTCCTTTGCAGCAGGTGTAGCACTGTCTGAAGTGGGGCTCAGATAGTTTGATCTGTCTCCCCCAACTAGAAAATGCTCCTTGGGAGCAGGGACTCTAGTCCGTCTCGTCTCCAGCACCCAGAACAGTGCCTTTGGCATGTACTTTGGAGTGTGTGGCGGCCTTTTTGAATGAATGCCAGAGCATACCTTGTTTAAGAAGGTCTGGGTAATGCCTTTAAATACAGTTGATGGGTATTTCCTCTTTGAAACCGTCTGTTATAAACTTGTAAGGTTTTCCTGTGCTTATTAGCCTGGATTTGCTTTCCCCTACCCAAAAGAGTTTGGGGTCATTGCAAGACTAGAGATGTATTATTTCTCCATTAAGATCATTGGTAGGAATTCTCAATACACTTAATCTCTACGTAAGCCACAATTTCTCCACTTCCATCAGAATAGGGCTCATGTTACCAAGCTGTCATCCAGCCTCGGAAAAATTGCTTCCCCGGGGTCATTGCAGCTCTGTTAAAAGATAGTCTTGCCTACCAAAAGCATTTTGAATGTCTTAATATCATTCACTCACATTTCTGTCCTTTTTTAAAGACTTGAATAGATTCATCAGTGTGATATCCCCTGGAAGCTATCTCGTCCCCAGTACCCTGTAAGCTTATATTTGTCTACATGTCCAGCAACCCAGCTGCGATGTCAGGGTACACGGGGCATGTGGGACGGTGGGGTGACTCTGTCCCAGGGGCCCTGGCTCCAACAGTCTGACAGACAGATGGTCGTGCATCAGCCCAGAGCAGTGTTAGAGAAGGGAGCTGATGTGACCTGTTGCCTTTCAGAAATGTATGTACCTGCCAGCAAATAAGAAACAGGCATCTTCTGATGTGGGACCTTGATCAGAATTTTTTTTTCCCAATCATTCAAGGGAATCACCCATACAACGTGATAGAACCAAAAACCTGCTAACTTGTTTAATCACCTCACTTTTTACTATCTGAAAAAATTAAATTCAGCACAATAGTCCGGCACCGTCTGGCAGTAAGTCAGGCTCAGGCTGTCTTGCGCCATGGAGTCATCGTTTGAATGACATGTAGCCTTTTAAAGGGATCTAGTTCAGAAAGCATGCCCTGGATATATATGCTATAGATGTGTGTGTTTTAAAATAAATAAAATACAATATGTAAAATGCATAATTATGCCATATTTGTGTTTTAGATGATTTTACGCAATGTAGAGATAGCTATAGGTACCTAGATATGTAGAGACATGCATGTGCATGTGGAAATGCACATATGTGCACACAATAAAAGAAAGCATTGTGGGTGATAGGTTTTCATGGGTTTTAGAAAATCTTAATCTTGCTTCTTTCCAGCTGTCTTTTACATGTTACTAGCTTTTTCTTTTAAACAGGGCTCTGGCCCTCTGGCTTTCCCCAGTCAATCTAGCACGTGGGGACAGTCCCCTGTTGCTGGCCCCCCCCAGGACACAGAGGGGTGTGACACTGCCGTGGTTGACCACATGTAATTGTGTTTAGAAATGTGTTGTACCCTTAACATGTTCAAATCAGACATCCTACTGAATGTCTTCCTGGCCATCGCTGTAGACAACCTGGCGGATGCCGAAAGTCTGAACACAGCTCAGAAGGAAGAAGCTGAAGAGAAAGAGAGGAAGAAGATTGCCAGGTAACCCCACTTTTACCTGGGGTGCTTTCTAGGGGGCTGCCTGGGGAGCTGGTGGCAGGTGAGGCCTGGCAGAGCCCCCATGTGGCTGCTCTGTGGTGGGCGTGGGTGGCCACATGGGGCCCACCGAAAAGGGTGAAATGGAGGGCAGAACCCAGGTGCTTGGCTGTCTTTCTTCTGGGGCTGAGAGTCAGAGTCACATGTGTCCCTTGATGGGGTTAATTTTGGCGTCATAAAATAAACGATGCATTCAGTGCTGATTAGCCCTGGGATGGGCATTCATAAACGACCCGTGTGGTGGACCCAGGGTGCTGACATGGGTGTGGCTTGTGCTGTGCCCTCATCTTTGGGTTGTTTCTAGTCCTACCAGCCACTGTCAAGTCAGAGTCCTGATTAGCATTTTTACACATAGCAGTGTGATGACTTGGTCTCCTGTGTGCTTTTCTCTTAGAAAAGAGAGCCTGGAAAATAAAAAGAACAAACCAGAGGTCAACCAGATAGCCAACAGTGACAACAAGGTGTGCGTGCTCCCCTTTTGGTTTGAAGATGTTTCTGTGGATACTGCAGAGTCATGTACCATTTATACCGTGGAAGTGTCTTGTGTGATATTTATGTATTCACACCGTGGGAACATCCCGTGTGGCGTGTGTGTATATTCCCACCGCAGGAGCGCCCCGCGTGGCATGCGTGCGTTCCCAACATGGGGGCGCCCGTGTGGTAATGGAGTATGGCATACCATCATAGATGCTGGCTTCCCAGGGGGTTTTGGGTGAATTTAGGTAGCTAGCTGTTTGTAAACCAGCACTTCAGCAGATAACCAGTATGACAAATACTTGACTGGCCTGACCACTTATTTTTTCTTTATGGAATTGTGTGGTCAGATATGACCTGTTCATGGGTTCTCAGCGCAGGTTAAAATCAGAGATTGCTAATGCATGTCTGCCCCCAGACAGGGTCTCAGGATCAGGGGGTCTGGGCCATATTGTCAAACTTCACCCCACTTAGGGGTGCTCTGGGCCTTTCATTCATTCATTCATTTGTTCATTGAGTAAAAACATACTGAGAGCAGTTATTGGGGACCAGGAGTGAAGACTGGTGCGTTCCCTGCCTGCACGAGGCTCAGGTTATATTGGGGAGACAGGAATCTACAGCGCAGTGTGCAGGGTATGTGGGGTCACTGAGATAGGAGGAGGCGTGGATGGAGCCCGTGGCTGTGGCTGGGGAGGGTTTCTACAAGTTTCCCCATCATGTGCCCTCAGACCTGCTGTCTTGAGCAGAATCATCCTCAGGGCCTTTGGCCGCCCCGAGAGACGCACAGCCCGGGCACACTCCGAATGGAGCGTCTCTCCATGTGCTGAATGGCAGGTTGAGTCTGTGCTTTGGCCGTTTGTCATGCATGCAAGCTGGAGTCTCCCCACCTCCAAAACCTCTCTGTCACCCTAGGTCACAATCGATGACTATCGAGAAGAGGAAGAGGACAAGGACCCCTACCCACCTTGTGATGTCCCAGGTATGGTGGTGGAGGCCAGAGACAGGCGCTCAGCTCACGGGGGATGTGGCCTTTGTACTGCTTGGAGATCAGCGGCAGAGTCAGTGATTGGTGGGCTGGGGCACAGGCCAGGCCACTGAGGCCGCCGGGACCAGGGCGCAATCTCTTGTGGAGCAGTCGGCCCTGCTTTTCTCTCGGCCACAGGCACCCGATTCCCAGGTGACAGAGGGAGGAGGTGTGAGAGAGCAGGGCAAGCCCGGCCTTTACTGGGAAATCTCTGCTGGAAGTGAGCAGTTCCTGCTGATACAGTGTCACCTGACACTGGCCTATTTGGCTGGTGTCTTTATTGGCTGACGGAGGAGGGACAGCGGATCCGGCAAGCCTGGGGAGCAGCCCTGTGTGGCTTGAATCCCACACACAAGGGTACTGGGGAAACCGCCAGGTGCCAACGGAAGGCAGTTGCCACCCTTTACCCGTGCCCAGACCGCAGACTGCGGGATCTTCCCACACCACGCACTCACCCACAGCCTGCTCAGTCCGTATCCTGAAGGGTTTTGATTAACGAAGCTGATAGAGGTTAACCGAGCAAAATTTTCATGTGAGATTGAGAACAGTAATACGGATCCCAGCGCAGCCTTCATTACATGCCTGTCAAACACGTGTCTCATCCAAAGTAGGCGAAGAGGAGGAGGAGGGGGAAGATGACGAGCCGGAGGTCCCGGCCGGGCCCCGGCCTCGCAGGATCTCGGAGCTGAACATGAAGGAGAAAATCGCCCCCATCCCTGAAGGGAGCGCTTTCTTCATCCTGAGCAAGACCAACCCGTAAATACCCCCTCTGATTGCGTTGCTGCCGCGTCTCCCGCGTGGCCCTGCAGGTCTGAGGGTGGCTGGGGTGGCCTGAAGGAAGGGGCTCAGGGCCGCTTTCTGCCCCCGGGCAGCGGAGGCCCGCGTCCTCTCCGCCGCCCCCTGTCCAGCCTTGCCCAGCTCCCCCCGGCCCTCCGGCTCCTGGACAGGGGGCTGTAGGGGTACAGCCAGGTTCCGGGTGGTGGACCCGTGGCTCGGTGTCCCATGGGGTTGTCCCCCGTGAAGCGTTTCCCATCCCTTCCTGAGGACCCTTTGTTCACGAGTGGGCTTTCCCGTGATGGAAATTGCGTGACCAGCTTTGGGGCCTGGTGATTGGTCATTTTCCCTGCTGAGTTTTATGGTGATAAAGCATTATTGCTCTGTGATACATCATAGGCAATAGCTATTCTATTCAGCTCTTACCTGCTTCAAGTAAGATTTCTCGTGTTAAAGTGATATGGTGCCTCCCAGGAGCGTGGTGTTGCCTTGTAAGAGGTAGATGTCTATTTCCCAGCTGGTGTCTAGGTTTTAGATCATCTGGGATTGAGTGAAGTGGCAGAGGGAATAAATGTTCCCCGGATAAGGTTTCTAGACTTTCAGAGGTAGCTGTTGGCCGGCAGAGAAGAACTCGTATATTCCCAGGCCCCCAGGGAAGACAGGCGAGAGGCGAGGTGTGCCACAGCCCCACACCCTGCGGGATCTGACGGCAGTTCTCACAGCGCCTCACTGTCGAGAGTGTGGGTTATTCGCCGACGTGAATCTCAGTGTGTCTGCATCCGTGGTGGGAATGGATTGATTTTCCCCCAAAAGCTGCGAGCACTCCTGCCCCACTGTCTTGGAAAGACCTTCCTGGACTGAGCTGCTAACGACTTGTGAGCTGTGCAGGGGGCACATTCAGCAGAGAGCAGCCCCCCCGAAGAGGGGACTCAACAGGGGGTCCCCTTCTTATGGAGTTGACTGTACTTAAACTGAAGAAAAATCTTTTCAAAGGAAAACCTACATGTATAAGCAAAAAAAAACAAAAAAAAACAAAAAAATCTTTAAGTCCTAAAGTCAAACGCTGAGGTTAAGTGTAGTCAGGCACCAAGTAGCCCAGAGTCAGGGGCAGCTGCGTCTGCAGACCACCGCTGGGCAGTAAGACCCTCGTCACAGCCTTGCATCATGATACAGCTCTCACTTCACTTTCTCAGGAGCATCTGTTGTGGGTCAGCCCCAGGTTGAAAACACTAGCACACAGCGCAGGGGGTTTCACCCAGTCCCACTCACGTGGTCGCAGCCCGAGGCAGGCATGGCTCCCAAGTTTTGTGAGCGTGGTTGGGAGCTCTGACCTCAGACCCCTCTCGGAGGCCAGGAAAGCTGGCAGCTGGGTGGCATGTGGAGTGGGAAAGCAGCACAGCCAGGCCAGATGGGCAGTCTGCCCTGGTCCTTACCAGCTATGCCACCTGAGCTTCAGCTGCCCCCTACTTTTCAGGACTGGACAAATGGTGTCCGTGTGGCACACAGAGCCGGGCACCACAGGCCCTTGGGGGCTGCCATCCGACGCTTCCCAGGGGCTAATGGTCAGGCGGGTCCCGCTTGGCTGGGTGGGGGCGTGGGCGGCGCCGTGGACAGCTGTCCTCTGCCTGACCCGTCCCCGCAGAGCAGCGCCAGCATGCGGCTGGGGCCCTGCCTGGGGCTGCGTCCATGCCATGCCCTTCCCCCAGGATCCGCGTGGGCTGCCACAAGCTCATCAACCACCACGTCTTCACCAACCTCATCCTCGTCTTCATCATGCTGAGCAGTGCCGCCCTCGCCGCCGAGGACCCCATCCGCAGCCACTCCTTCAGGAACACCGTAAGCTGCCAGCTAGCTGGGTGGGTGGGGCAGGGCCCACGGAGGCCAGGGCTGAGGCTCGGGCCTCTCTTCACCAGCACTGTCTTGTTGCGGGGTTTGTAAGCCCAGAGAGATTTGTTGTAGAGGACAAACCTTTACTGAATCGTGTCTCTTAAACTTGATTTAAATGCTCTGCAGTCACTTGCAGCATACACAGGTCCCTGCTCCTCTCCCTCTCCATGCCTTATGGCCAGAATTTTGGTCCCTGTTTTCCCCTCCCTGGTCGAATTCACATCCACACCTATTTTGAGATCCCTGCCCAGTGGCAGCATCCACCAGAGAGGGTACAGTTGGAGCCAGTGTGTCACATGCCTGGAAGCTCTTACGCAGGGTTGGCAGGGAGACACCTCCTATATGGACATAGATGCACGAGGCTCCTTGGCTCTGCTGGGCTGTGGAGGTGAGAGGAAGACCTTTGCTTGGTGGGCAGGAGGCGGTGTCACAGGGAAAACAGGGAGGGGTCCTGTCCCTGTCAGTGATGTGTCAGGTCCCGAGCAGGGAGAGCGACTTCCCCTCCTCCGGCTGGGCTCTGCTGCTGGTCCTCACCCACGCGGCTCCAGTAGCAGCCGTCCCGTGCCGAGAAGAGTCCAGAGGCAAGAGGGCCCCAGACTGCAGCCTGTTGAGCCTCTGGCCTTGACATCGAAGTGCGGTTTCAGATGATTATGAGGCCCACCAGGGGTGGAGGCCATTAGGCATCGCTGCTGAGCCCGGCTGGTAAATCTCAGATGTGTAGAGATTTGAGGGTTAAGATGGATCACCAAGATGAGGGCAAGGACTTTGCTTATGGCAGCGAAGCCTGTGCGGTGCTTTCCACGTCCCCCGCTCTTGGTTTGCGGCCTGGCCAAGGCAGTCAGTTAGACTGATAGAACACGGGACCTCTGATGCGCCGATCCCAAGAACTTCCCCCAGACGCTGGGTGGTGTTCACGGTCGGTGCAGAGAGCCCGACCTGATCGGAACCCTCAGAGGAGGGCTTTGTTAGAGATTCTGAAGCCGTCTCTATCAAAACAGTCACATGGCACAAAACCTGAGTGTCCGCAAGTTCCATCGTAGAAATGAGACACGAGGGTAGAGGAGCTGCTTGGAAAAAGATGTCACCATGTGACAGAGGAGGTCAGGAGCTAGTCTAGAATACGGACTGGCTAAGAATTAGCTTATGTGGGGCCTCCTGTTCTTATTTTTTATTGTAATTACTTCCCCATTCATTTATTAGCTCCTGCTGTTCCCTGGAATGTTACTCTTCTTTTTTAATTGATGTACATGTGTGTATGGGTATGTCTTTTAAAATAACTACAGCGTTAATTTTATTGTTGTGAGAACACCTAACATGAGATCTACCCTCCTTGACAGATGTTTACGTGACAAGACAGTATTCTTACAGACAGGCACTGTGTTGTGCGGCAGATTTCCACAATTTACTCAGACCATGTAGCTGAAATTTAACACCCGTTGAACACAGTTCCAAGTTTTCCTCCCCCAGCCCGACAGCCTCCCTTCTCCTCTGTGTGCAGGCTTGACCACGTCAGACACCCCGTGGAAGTAGACTCCTACTGCATATGTGTGTTTTTGACTTTAGCTGAGTTATTAGTGAAGAAAAGAATAGAGTCCAAGTGAGGAAAGAGCAGTTTGGATCTAAGCTTTGACCCCCGGCAGCTGTGTCTTGTCTGGCTACCGGGGGCTTCCAGCAGAGACAGTCCTGCTGTGATCTAGAAGGGGCCTGTGGCGAGGTGGAAATACCTTTCACTGCCTACACAGAAGCACAGACACACAAAAGTGTCCCAGCAATATTATAAACCACCAGATAGAAACAGTTGGGACAATGAATGCTTTCTGAAGAGAGAACCGCAGCCAAGGAGAGCTGGCCTCTGCAGCAGGGGTCCTCAGCTTATGTAACAGGGCAGTAGGGCCACCCCACCCCTAAACAAGTTGCTCTCAGCTGGCCCCTGGCAATGCCATGACTGGTGGCGTGACCTGAGCCACTGCCCCCAGTCCTGTCCCCAGCATCCTCAACTGTTAAGTGAAAGGAGTCGGCCTGGGCAGTCTCCACAGCCCCACAGCTCCGATCACCTCGGTTCTTGCCTACTTGTAGAGCACAGCGGTCTTGAAGATGCGCCACCAACCTGGCCTTTTCCTACTGGCCGAGTCTCAGCTGCCCCCTCCGTGGCTGTGAGCAGCCTGGCTGAGCAGTCAGACTTCTTGCTGCTGGCCTGCCTGCCCTGCCCTGCTGCCCCCCACGGCTGTGAGGAGCAGCAGGGACACCCCAGGAGGGGTGAGGTTAGAGGGACTCAGGCGTTTGGAGAGTAGGTGCTATTTTTAGGGATCTTAAACAAGTAGCCTGGACTGATGCAGGCTGGCCCAGTCTGTTCCCTGGGGGGCCCTGCGAGGAGAAAAGCCAGCCCAATGGGAAGCTGTGTCCATGGCAGACCAGGGCCATCAGTGTGACCCTTCCGAGAGGACTCACCGGCCCCACACGTCGGTGCTGCAGAGGGCATCTACTTCCGGGTTGAGTGGGCTAGGGTTGGAGGGGCCAAGTGGGTGCTTCTGGCCCCATTTGATGCCACTTTCACCTTTATTTACATTTCTCCACCAATCTGAAGCTCAAATACGGAGGGCAACAGATCTCATTCAGCCAGAAATGCAGTTAAAAATCTGAAATGTGCGTAAGGCTCTAATTTTTCCGTTGCCCAAGTAATTTGTCAGTGTAATGCTCTGATGAGCAAAGGTTATTAATAAAGTACTTGTAGAAAGGAGCCTCTGTCCAAGAGGCGAGGCTGGGGAGAGTCAGCCTGAATGCTTAAAGAGGTAAGTGTTCCCAGACGCCCTGGCTGGTCATAAGGATGAGCTGTAATTGGACCCGGTGGGGCATTTATGGGAATCTCAGCACTTAGCGCCGGAGGGGAAGGCTTGTCCCGGGAGAGCGGGTCCCTGGCTGCCTGTGGGGTTGGACCCACGGGCTCGCAGCTGTTGGAGCTTGTCCGGGTGCTTCTTCTCATCTCCCACATGTTGTGCCTTACAGATTCTGGCTTACTTTGACTATGCTTTCACAGCCATCTTTACTGTTGAAATCCTGTTGAAGGTAATGGCTTTTTCATTGACCCTCGCTTACTCTAACGCAGCTGTGGCAATAACGGTGGCCGGTCTGTGTCCCCCTTGCAGGTGCTAGGTTACGCAGATTATGTCTTCACTGGCACTTTTGCGTTTGAGATCGTTTTGAAGGTAACAGGCCCCTCGGCGGTGTGTCTTGGGGGGCCTGCTCCTGTGTGTGACACGCAGCAGAGAAGCGTGATGTGCTTTTTACTATTTTTTGTCTTCTGTGGTTAAGCACCACATTTATTTTTTATTTTTTATTTTTTAACCAGAGGATCTTTTTTTCTCCTGTAACCATTCCACTTGTTTTTGCTGTTTCTTTTTAACCTCTGAATGCATGTAGGAGCCACTTTGGCTTGCATAATTGCGACTGGCAATTATATTTTGCTCCTTTTAAAATACGGCCTCTGAAATTTCTTGACTGAAACAGATGCATCGCTTCTGTGTGAACCTTCTTCCACCTTTTGTGGCATCGGAGTCAGAAGAAAAGCGTTCATCCTATGGAAGGAACGCGTCTCTCTCCGTTTCCTTGACTGAATCGTTTTCAGTGGCCTCAAATAGTAACACACTATTTTCTTGCAACAGGATTTGCAAGATAACTTGGGTCTGTCTGTGTTAAGGTATTTTAAATCTGTTTTTATGGATGGGCTTACATTTACACACACAAAAAGAACACCCCTCCGACAGGGCGCCAAATGTACTGCCCATGAATGAGCTGGTGGCCGTTGCTGCATGTGGTGTGGATACTGACTGTGAAGGCCTCCGGGGCTGAGCTCATTCCTTATGCACTCGGAGGCCTAGAGACCCATGGCCAGGGAGCTGGGACGCCACGGACTTGTGATGTGGTGTGGGTCCTTGTAGCACTGGGCCAGCGTGGCCCATGACAACTGTCGGAGCCATCACCTAGTGGGGAGACAAGCGGGGAAATGAGGACTTTTAACCACAGTTGCCTTTAAGCCACGTTGAGCTTCATGTCTGTCCATCTTAGGAAAAAATGTATTTTGTGTTCAACTGCTCTGCAACTTGAGCTCTTTACAAAATCTCCTATAAAATGAAACCTCAATGAATGTCGCCAAGGACTGGGGTATTTAGTTCATTTATTTTTGTTTCATTTCTTTGTTAATGAAACATTAGCACAAAAGCAACCAAATGACCCACCTCTGTTTAAACCTTCGCTAAAAAATTCGTGTTTGTTTTCCTGCCTCCTAGCCAGTGAATCTGGCCGACAGTTCTGTCCTATGAGAGCCGTGCCCAGGTGGGTGAGCAGATCTGAAGGCCATCCCCACAGTAAGAACAGGGGCAGATGCTCAGGGCCTGGGCTCAGGGACCTTCACCCGTCTCTGCAGGACCCTGAGCTGCTCTTTGCATATGTGTGTGGGGTTTGCTTGTCCCCCTCCAACAGAATGGGAAACCTTCCACCTTAGCCACTTAGTGTCATTAATTGAGGTTTTATTTTACTTACTTTCCATATTTTTAAGTTGTTAAAGAAATATAGTTACTCATGGGCTTTGGGGCAAGTGAGAGACAGGGTTATTTAAAAGAGAAAAACCCAATTATTGCTCTTTAATCTCTGCATATTTGCCTCCGTGACTTACATCAATCCAAGTTAGTCTTCATTTTCAAAGATACTTTAGCAAGTGGAAAATAAACTCTAACAAGGAGGGTTCGGAAGACAGAGAATCACCAAGTAGCATCGAACATTTGAAATGGTGGTTCCTCATAACTGTGGGAAGATTTGGGAGGCTATGTGGTTATTTGGTTAAATCATCTGAAACTTCCATTCTTGTAGGCCAAGAGGGTTGAGTGTTGGCGATTTTGTATGGATTCAGTGTCACTGGTTGCCAACCCCCTGTCTCTCCTGTGCTTACCTGAGCGTGAGCCACCTTTGTTTTTCTCAATGAACAGTGAACTGCACGTATCGTCCGTTCACTCTGAGGAACTTGCTCACTGAAGTCCTTTCCCACTGCCAGTTGGCCCCTCTCCTGGCAGGTGACTTAATAGCAGCGAGCCTGACCTGGGTGAGAAGCATGTGATGGCTTCCTAGCCACACCTTGCATGTGCTAGAGTAGCTGGACCCCAAGGAGTCGTTTACCATGGACGAATAACTAAGGACCATTTGGGGCAGTAAGGGGCCCACCTGGAGAAATGCTGCAGGTTTTTGTGGGGATGGAGCCTGTGAGTCCTGGACTCTAGCACTTCTTCCAGAGCCCTGGGAAGTCTGAGTTGGAACAGTGCAGGCTCGCCTGTGGGCTCAGAGAAGCCAGAAGCAGCATTTTGTGGGAAGCCAAGCTGTGTGGGCAGCAAGTATGTCCTGACAAGCGCAGTCACGGGGACCCTCTCCCGAGACAGGCTCTTTGCACAGGCCGACAGGGTCCATATGTGAGGTTAGTCGTCACTGTAATGAAGTCTAAATTGGTCTCTTCTTTTAAAAGGCATGTGAAATCATTGGACCTTTTTCCCAGTTTAGAACAAATCATTCGGTGGCTCAGCCCTCTTGGTTTTACATTTTGGCTTCCTAACGCACGCTTGTTAAGAAAGGCATTCGTTGCTCAAGGTTTTGTAAAGAGCCCAGGTTTCTTTGCTCTGGAGAGAAGAAACAGTAAATCACTCATGATTCTGCTCGTAGATGACGACCTTTGGAGCGTTCCTCCACAAAGGGGCTTTCTGCAGGAACTACTTCAATTTGCTGGATATGCTGGTTGTCGGGGTGTCTCTGGTGTCATTTGGGATCCAGTGAGTATCTGGGGTGGGTGAGGACACAGACTGCTGGGCTGGATGGCTCACGTTCATGGGGTCCTCATAGGCTGGGCAACGTTCTAAGGGTCACACTTGGTTATCCGGGAAAGCTGTGTGTGTGCCATGCCGGGGGTTTGGGACATTTTCTGCTCTCCCGTGTTGGTGTTTTTCCTTTTATGCCCACTGCTAGACTGGGCTTATCACTCTCTCTGATATCTGCTCTCAGCAGAGAGTGAGAGAAGCCTTAAAGGAGGGAGGAGCCGGGTTCGAGTCCAGGCTCCGCCAGGGCCTCCCATGGGCATCGAGGGCATCCTCTCCTGGGATCTTGGCTCTCCGTCTGTTCAGGAGGGGCCCTTTCAGCTTGGATAGGGGAGGCTCCCCTTGTCCTCCAGGATATATCAGCTACTAGGACCCTTTTTCAGGTGGGGTGGGGGGGACTTCTAAAATTTTCAGCTCGGAGGGGACTGAGGCTGCAAGGCCAGGCCCAGGGCCTTTCTGTGGCATTTCGGGGTTTCTGGCAGGGAGCAGCCCAGGCTGCCCACTGCCTGCCTTCTGTGCCCAGGGTCTGGGGCAGAGGCTCCTGTGCGGACACCGGGGGGAGCCTGCTGACTTATGGGCGTCCCTGTTTCCCCCTTGAGAGCGTGTGCTTACGCACAACCTGAGCTAAATTAGATGGAGAGGCCCGCCTCCTCAGAGGTCCAGGGACCGACCCCTGCTGGAAGCAGCCCTCTGTGGTAGCCCTCCTCCCCTCCTTCTGCTGCCCCAGGGTGGGAGAGCCATGTGGTCATAGCTTGACAGGACACTGTCACCCTACCTTTGCACTCCTATGAGCACCCAGTGGTGCCTGCCCGCTCCAGCTGCCCTCGCACACTGCCTGATGGATGTGGTCTGACTCCCGTGGGGCCGTGTGGGCTGCACTGCCTCATCCGGGGCCTTCCTACATGCAGCTCCCCCAGCCTGGAGCCCCTGCCCCTTTGCCCAGCTCTCCCGACTTCGCTGGGGACTCACCTGGATACCTGCCCTAGGGGCCTTCCCGGGCTTCCCCAGCAGCACCTGCCCCCTTCCTCCCCATTGTCACACCTGCTGCACAGGTTGCGATGCCCACCTCTCCCACCAGGGAGCTCCCTGAAGGCCGGAGAAGCCCAAGTGGCCTGGCCTACCTGTTATTCACACAGAGTCTCTGCTGCGTTACTGTGTCTGAGTCCAGGCCTCTGAGCATGCTGTGGGCCTGGCTGCGAGGTGCCGTGCAGAGGGGCTGCAAGGAGACCCGAGATCATGTGCGAGTCGTGGGGGGAGCTCAGCTCAGCTCGCGTGATCCCACACGCTGTGTAGTGGCATTAAATGGAAGTCCATGTGAAACGGTCCCAAAGTGTTCTGCCCACCTGGAAACACTCTGCTCTCTTCCTTAGATCCAGTGCCATCTCCGTTGTGAAGATCCTGAGGGTCTTAAGGGTCCTGAGGCCGCTCAGGGCAATCAACAGAGCAAAAGGACTTAAGGTTGGGACCCTCCCCCCAAGGCGGGCTGGCTGTGCTTGGGGCTAGCTGTGTGACTGACTCTTTAGGCTGGAGCTGGGCTGCGCCTGCTGGACTTTAAAGTGGGTTGTACACCAGGAAAGAACATTTCTAAGCAATGAAGCTGCCTCTACGAACTGCTGATAGCATTTAAAAAATTATCTTCTTAATTTTGAATGTGAGCCAATTTGTCTTTATATAATTACTGTTCACCTATCAATTTTCATTATTAATAGTGTTTCTTTGGGTTTATTATGGTCTTTAAATCTGTTCTTATACAGGTTGTACAAAAGGCTAGAGAATCTGCATTTTCCTGAGACCTTTTATGGGGTGGGGGGCCCTGTGGGTTTGTGTGCCATGCTCCACCCTGTAGGCACTTCTTCTAACTAAACTGCTTTGGGGGGACCAGGGAGACCGCCAGGGTGTCCTCACAGGTGGCCATGATGCCCTGGGACGTGCCCCACAGAAAACTCCCTGAGAAACTGCAAAGTCAGAAAAATCATATAAAAATGCACACAAACCCAGTCTTGGCCGGTATCAGCTCACCCCACGGCCAAGACAACAAAGGCAGGTGGCTCTGTGTGTGTTCGCCCCTCCCCTCCCCGCAGCACGTGGTCCAGTGCGTCTTCGTGGCCATCCGCACCATCGGCAACATCATGATCGTCACCACGCTCCTGCAGTTCATGTTCGCCTGCATTGGTGTCCAGCTGTTCAAGGTGTGGGGAGGGAGGGCCCTGGGTGGCGCAGTCCGGCTGACCGCCAGGGTGGAGGGGCCCTGCGCTGACGTGTGTCTTGTTTGTGTCCAGGGAAAGTTCTATCGCTGCACGGACGAGGCCAAAAGCAACCCTGAAGAGTGCAGGTGAGAGTCCTGAGCGCCAGGGTGGGAATCTGGAAGAACGAATGGAACACGTCAAGGATGCGCTTGTGCTATAGCCCTTCATGCTTCTGCCCGGGCTGCCAGGGGCCTGTGTGCTCGGCTCGTGGCTGGAGAGATAAGAGGGATTTCGTATTTTTTATATCAAGTTCACATGATGCAAACTTATCCACTTTAAACTGTACAATTTAGGGGCATTTTAGTGCAGTCACATCACAGTGAGGTCACCACCTCTGCCTAGTTCCAAAGCTTTTCACCCCAAAAGAATGGATAGACGGCTTTGGATGTTTGGTATAGAATCTGTAAACTGGGGGCAAAAGAAAGCCAAAACCGGAATAACAATGATGAAAGGCTGTACAAATTAGCCTGACAGCCATAGGGGTAATTTTTCCCCAAGCAGAGGTCAAAGCTCCAGCCCCTGGTGTTCAGGGCCAGCCACGTCTTCTGACAGGTTTTCCAGGCTGCCTCTCCTCTCTTTCCTGGCACCCATGGGTGACTTGGCCATATTTCTGTTTGTGTGAACGGGCAGAGGAGCCACGAGATGGGAAGTACTTGTGCTCTTATGCCATCATGTCCAGAAGAGTTTGAAGGCAGGCGTGGGCCCCACTGCCTGCAGTCTGGCCGTGGACATCTGTGCTTCCACCACCTTCTGGGATGAGGGCTGGCTGTGCACTGCTTACCTTCATCTGGGGTTGCTTTTCAGCAGAAGGTGCAGTCCTAGAGCGCCCGGTACAGTGTGGCTGTGGTGTCACCACCAGGGCACCACCCACCAGGTTGTGGGTGGAGGGTGGCCCCTGGGTTTGGTGTCACCACAGCTGTGCAGAGATACCACCTCCTCTCTGACCTTATGCTTCTTCACCTGCAAAATAAAGACACTGGTCTCCTTGCAGAAACGGACTTCTGAGAATGACTGTGGGCCGAAAATTACAAAGTTCTTTTGGGAAGAAAGCCAGTAATATTTTTAATATGAGAGGGAATTTGATTAAAACTAACAAGAGAGGATACCTGGGCTTGTATCCCAGAGTTTATGGAATCTCCACGGCCAAAGCTTTTGATTTTCCTGTATATGCGTTGAGCCCCTGTACCTGGGGATGCCTGCTGGTGGGTTCTTCTCATGAGCCCTCAGGCTTCTGCAGGTCGCTCTGAGAATACACATTACACTAGTGTGTACATTACATTTACTCCATGGTGGTTTGAACCATAGAGCAGATTAAGGGCAGGGCGAGAAAAGGAGAAACACGGACTGTGCCATGCTCAGATCCGTGGCCTGGCTGGCAGAGCCCATGACGGCGCTCACAGCTGGGACCGGAGCAGGCATGCCTGACGTCATGTCAGGCCAGGGCGACCCACACTTCTTTTCCTCTCCAGGGGGCTCTTCATCCTCTACAAGGATGGGGATGTTGATAGCCCTGTGGTCCGGGAGAGGATCTGGCAGAACAGTGATTTCAACTTCGACAATGTCCTTTCTGCTATGATGGCGCTCTTCACGGTCTCCACGTTCGAGGGCTGGCCTGCGTGAGTACAGGGAACAAGCATCTCCCGGGAGGTTCCTATTTACTTCTGTGGGTTCCTGGGGCTGAGCCATCCCTCCTGGAGTGAGTCCTGCCTCTTCCCTCTATCCTTGCAGGCTTTGCTTAGGACTTCGAAACTGTGGGCCGTTTATCAGTCACTAGGCCCCCAGGGCTCCTCTGTCTGATTAGGCAAATGATTAACCTTTGTGGCCAGCTGCCAGGATTCAGACTGCCCGGGGGTGGGGGGACTCATCTCCGCTGGCTCCTGGGGGGCATCTGTGGGCGGGAATGGGGAACCCTCAGGTGCACTGTCACACCGACTCCCCCTGCAGTCGTGTCAGTGAAGCTGCCATTACCCTGTTCCTAAAGAGGGTATTGATAGGGCCCCAGGCCATTCATCTATTCATTCACCCATTCATTCATGGTACTAATACGTGCCAGGCGTGGATGGCTGCCATTGTGCCATGCCTTTCACCGACCCTCTCACTCGCTCATTCATAAAATGTGCCTTTGGTACTAGCTCCTTGCAACACGCAGTGTTAGCCTGTGGGAGATGGTTCCTCCCATCAAAGCCCAAACCTAGACAGGGTGTCAAGTGGTCAAGCCAGGCAGGAGGCTTGGCAGGTCAGAAATGTGCAGAACATGGTCTTGGAGAATGGCTGGGATCTTGATGGGTAAGGTGGGAAAGTTGGAAAGGAGGAGGAACGTGGGAACAAAGGGAGAGCCCCTTATGCCTGTGTTAGTTGCCCTCGGATGCCCCACCCATCCGCCTCCTGCCACCAGGGGATGGACTTACACACAGCCTCCTGCAAGTGGGGTTCCCACACCCAGAGCAACTGCAGAAGCCGGACAGGCTGCTCCTCCGCTCAGGCGGGCAGAACTCTGGGCGCGTGGGAGGGTCTGCTATTTGGAGGAGTTCTTACGGAGTCAAAGGATATGTGGGTGGTCTGGTTCTTCAGGAAGTTGGCTCTGGGAGAAAAGAGGCCTGGAGCAGTAAGCAGAGGTGCCTGTGGCCTCCACATACTTGCTTATGTGGAGGGATTCTGGGACAGCATTTGGGACCCCCATTTGACGGCGGCACTGGCCGCAGTTGGACTTTGTGCGCTGGGCTTTAGCAGCTCAGGGTGGCAGCTGGGGGAAAAGGAACACACTTGGGCCTCGGGCCTCAGAGGAGTGGGCTCAGACCCCTCGGAGCTTCCGTGCAATGGGGTGACAGAGGGTCCACCTTTCCAGACTGAAGTGAACGTGCCTAGCACAGTGCACCCCCTGGGGGGTGCCCTGGGAGTGTTCAACCTGCATCAGAACGGGGGCGAATTTGACCTGGGAGCGTAAACAGTGACTTCCCCTCTTCTGTTAAGAGTTCTGCTTGGCGTACATAGAATCATAGTGCATGTTTCAGTCTGGAGAACCCCTCAGTTCTTTGGAAACCCCAGCTGCCAGCTTATCATCCTCACCAGGGAGTATACAGTGTTTAGTCCCCCACGTCTCACATGGGACACACTTCCTCTCCTCTGTGCGGGAAAAGCACTGTTGAATATCTGTGAGATATTTTGTTTTTCAATCCTCAAAACATCAGTCACCAAATCTGTCCCAGCTGCCCCTCCTCGAGGTGCTGGGCCTAAAGTTGAGGAGGATGCTTCAGAGGCTGGCTCGTGTCCAGGGGCGGAGGCGGGGGCGGCTCCCAGCGAGGGGCCTGACGGCCGTCCGCAAAAACATTCAGAAGCGTGGTGCCCGGGGAGGCAGTGGCGTGGGGCTCCGCCGGCCGCGGGCTCACCTGCTCCTCTGCTCTCCAGGCTGCTGTACAAAGCCATTGACTCGAACGGAGAGAACGTTGGCCCGATCCACAACCACCGCGTGGAGATCTCCGTCTTCTTCATCATCTACATCATCATCGTCGCCTTCTTCATGATGAACATCTTCGTGGGCTTCGTCATCGTCACCTTCCAGGAGCAGGGCGAGAAAGAGTATAAGAACTGCGAGCTGGACAAAAATCAGGTTAAAGTCACACACTGTTTGGGCTTCCGTCCTGTGAGCGAGAGAGGAGTGTCTTCCTCCATGCAGAGAAGGGTGCCCCCCTGCTGTCACCCCGGGGGGCTCGGGCCCTGCTCAGATCACACTCAGCGGGTCGGAGTCATTGCTGGTGAGCGTCAGGCTCCCAGATAGAGATCAGACTTACTAATCATGAGATCCACCCCCAGACCCGTGACAAGATGTCAGAGAATGCTCAGGCCGCCCTCCCTGCTCGCCACCCTCAGTGACAGCTCAGGGTCTCGTGGGGCGGTGTGGCCAGGGGTCAGCAGCGCTCACAGACACTCCTCAGGCCCCACCAGGGGACGGTCTGTGAGCTGCTTGGCTTCGTGTGCTTTGAAGGATGGTTAGCAGGATCCCGGCCTCTACCCGCTGGAGTCCGGTGGCAGCCACCCCCCAACCAAAGGCATCTCCAGACATGGCCACCTGTCACCACATTGCCTTCCTTAGGAGGAAGCGCCTATCACACTTCAGGGAGAGTCGCTGACTTGCCCGCCAGGCGAGGAGCACGCTGGCACGGTTCTCTGTGTCCCTCACAGCTTCAGGCTGTGATGCATGGTGACACAGGGAGCTGGGAGCTGGCGTCCCAGTCCCATTCTCCCTGCACCTGCTCTGGGATTGAGGGTGGGTGTCTGCTCCTCTCCAGGCCTGCTCCTCGTCTGGACTGAGAGCTTCAAGGAACTGCATTTAGAGGTTTCTTTCACCCCTTAGAGACCGTGTGCGAGATGGAGATTCTGCTCAGGGAGTTTCCCTCAGGGCCTCCTTTGCTGGCATCTCTGACAGATGATCACACGGGGGGCAAGTGTCATCTGCTGGCCTGGGCTTCCCGGGGATGGTGTCTGTGGTCAGAGTCAGGCTGACCCTCTGGGGGAAACAGTGCTGGGTTTTTAGGTGACAGTGTGTCCCTGCAGTTCCCATCAGTGCTGGTCATGGGGGGGCCTGGCCCAGCTCTTCATCTTCCCCCCACCGGTCCCCCAGAGGAAGGGTGTCAGGCCAGCCAGGTAGCAATAGAGCTGTGATTGTGTCACCACTTGAGGTCTGTAACGGGCCCTGCAAGCAGCGTGTGAGGGCCCAGCAGGGCCGAGGGAGCCTGTCTGAAGTCAGAACCAGAGCCAAAGCAGGCAAAGAGGGGTAGGCCTGGGCCTCGGAGCAGCAGGGCCTGGTTCCGAGCCGAGGGAGGTCAGGGCTGGTGTGCCCTCTGGGCTTGCAGCAGAGGACAGTCCAGCCTGAGCCTCAGAGCGGGGAGAAGGACAGGGCTTTGGGCCACTGTCACTGATCACGTCCTGGGGGTCTGAGACGAATGTGACAGTCCTCCCAGCTCCCATTCGATGCCTGTGGTTAACACGCACTGGCTCCGGAGAGGTGTCTCGGGTACATCCTGCGGCAGCCAGACCTCCAGCCAAGCCCCTCTGGGCCCTGATGGTTCCTGTGCCTTTCATGACGGCACTTCTTGCCTAGGGGATGACCTGAGCAGGGAATCAGCACATAACCCCCGGCTGGACTTGCCCCACTGCCTCCGTGCTGTGTGCAGCAGGGCCTCCGGGAGGCGCTCGCAGCCTGGACCTCCGTGGTTCACTGAGTCCCATGGAAGCGAGCAGGGGAGGATCAGGCGAGGTCACGGGCTGGCCCCTTGCATGTGCGGAGGTGCCCTGCAGGCCGTCACATTCCCTCCGCCGTCACCCCTCCCAGCAGAGACGCCCGCCCTTCCAGAGCAGAGGAGAGAAAGAGAGAGAGAGAGCCGTGTCCTCCTTCCACGGATGTGCTCAGGGCCCTCCTTGCTCTTTTCTGCCCCTGCAGCGTCAGTGTGTTGAATACGCCTTGAAGGCACGGCCCTTGCGGAGATACATCCCCAAAAACCCCTACCAGTACAAGTTCTGGTACGTGGTGAACTCCTCGCCTTTCGAATACATGATGTTTGTCCTCATCATGCTGAACACACTCTGCTTGGCCATGCAGGTAAAAATGGGATCAGCTTTGGGGGTCGCGTCTGTGCCTCCTGCACAGCCCCAATGCCCAGGTTCTCAGGGTGGATGCTGCCCCCTCTCAAGAGGATGGGTTTGATTTTCTGAGTCTGGGCTGTAGTTTGGCCAGAGCCTCATTCTGGCTAACAGTTCTCATGGTAGGAGTTTAAGATGCGTCTTCGGTGCAAGAGACTGTCTGTACAGCCCGACCTTAGGGACATTTCCAGAGAGCCTGAGGCTGGCATTCAGTTCTGTAAGCATTGACTGTGGGTCCCCAGTGGCCACTCTGAGGACCAAGCTCTGTCCATGTAGAGTTGGACAGACAGGGGTTTCAGTCCTGACTTCCATCCTTGGCAGCAGGGCAACCTTGGGAAAATTATTTAAATCCCCTGAGCCTTGCTTTCTTCATTGGTAAATGGGAAATCTAAACACCTCAGAGATCAAGTTCATGCTGGGGGATTCATATAAGGCACTTGGCTCTGGGCCTGTCACAGAGCAAACGCCCAATGTTGAAAAATAAAATGTTAAGTCACATTTTTATTCTCCATTTGCTCAGTATGGCAGTGGGCACCCTTCCAGTCCGTGGAGTATTGAGTTTGACCTGCATTATAGCTGCTTCTTGCTCACAATGAGGACAGGGCCTGCAGCTCACTTCAGCTGGCCACGCTGGGGCACAGCACCACGTGAACAGAGAGCGATTGCAGCCGCTGTGTTGTCTAGTAGATATTACGCTAGGGCAGGAAGTAAACCCAGCGGTCTAGACCCAGTTTGCACACTGACTTTAAGAACTTGAGCAAGTCAAACCCACTCCCAGTGCCCTCTGGAAAATGGGTCTAAAGATAGTCAAAGATTAATTTTCTGGCACATTCCCTTAAATTTAAGAATTCTTCATGGGTGAGAAGGACCCCATGCTGATGTCAGGGGAAGTGTGAAGTCCAGGTGCTGCCCGTTACTGGACACAGACCCAAATGGCATAAGATCTGTCCCTACCCAGATCCCGCCTTTATTCATAGGCATTTGGGTGGGGTCTGCACCGTGCCTGGGTGAAGGTCCCGAATGTAAACCCTGGATGGGTTCCCTTTATCCTGTGCAGAAGAAATTGGTGTCTTTGCCCTTCATCATCCAGTCACGCTCATCCCATCAAGGCCCATGCGCTTTGTGGGGCTTGAGCCGCGTGCCCTAACGTTGCCAGGGGAACTGTTGGCAGAGGATGCAGGACTGGGGAGGCTGCCTCCATGTCCAAGCAGAGGACGAATGCCTGAAGGGAGCACAGGGCTGGGGGCCTCTTTTCTGAGCGTGGCATGGGCGTGTGAGCATGTGCCCGTCTTGGTCCACAGCACTACGAGCAGTCCAAGATGTTCAACAACGCCATGGACATTCTGAACATGGTCTTCACTGGGGTGTTCACCGTGGAGATGGTTTTGAAAGTCATTGCATTTAAGCCCAAGGTGAGTTGCTGAACCCACTTTTCAAAGGCTGTTATTGAACTACCCCAGAGGAACACACGCTTACTGTTAGTCCTGCGTTACTTGATTCTGCTGAGTTGTTCTGACCGCTAACTGGGTTATCACCTAGAACGTTAAAATCTGATTAGGGCATCTGTGTGCATATGGGAAAATAAATCTGAAAAGACAAAACCTCATAAAAATAATTCTGAGAAAAAGACACAGGGAGCAGAGAACTGGGAATCTGTAGACTGGAGATTGTTTTGAGACCTGATTTCCTGTTTCTAGAATAGCACGTAGCAGGCTGCCCCAGGGAGACTCGCTTAGTTGACTTGAACGCTGGAGAAATCGTTTTAACGTTACCCACCAGAAAGAATTTGGCCCTGATTTTACTTTTAGATTTCTAAGATAAAGACTTTGGTTTCATCTGGTCTTGTTCTACAGCATCTTTTTCACCTTTTATGGCAAGTTTGCCAGCTGCAGACACCTCATTGCCATACCTCCTTTGGTTTCTTTGATGTTAGAGCAATTTCACTTGTCTTTAAGACAAACTAGACGGGAAAGTTGTTAAACTCCGGGGGACCATCCACAGAGTGTGTCTACTCTGCAGAGGGAGTGAATCCAGTCCACAGCTGTCAACATCTGTGGTGTAAGAGGCAGGTCACTGGCAAAGGGCATGCAGGGTTCTGGATTCAAATCCCTCCTCTCCACTTGCTAACTTGAGGAAGTTCCTTAGCCGCTCGGTGCTGCACTTTTCCCATCCGTAAAACGAGGGCATGACCAGTCCTATTCCAGAGGGTGGTCGTGAGGCGGGCAGACCCCCTACCTGTGCCATGCTTGGGGGAGTGGCTGGCGTGTCCTGCACTGTGCACGAGTCAGGACCACTATTGCAGCCACGACCTTCACCACCACCCTCACCACCACCACCATCCCGTAACAGTATTCCCCCGTGCTAAAACATCAGACAGAGTAGCAATCCTGGCTGAGCTGGGGGACAGACGACCTTCAGTGTTTTTCCCAGCAGAGCCCCAGAGTATCAATTAGAGAAGAGTTCAGTGGGCCCGTCTGTTCACCTGTGGCCAAGGTGTCTGACAATGCTAATTTAAATGAGACATGGATTATGAAATGATGTTTTCACGTACTCCAGTCTTACATGGAATTCTGATTCCTCTCTTTAGTTTGAGTTCATTTCTATGCAGTCTGTGTGGACCAAGAAGAAAGGGCACTTGTGAGTGGTGAGGCGGACAGATCACAGTGGGGGCACAGCAGGCAGGTTGTGTGCTGTGACTTGTCCATATCTCCACACATAAGCGTGTCCACCCTTTCCAAAGTGACCCAATGTCCTTAGGGATTTTGGGTTGCCTCCCTCTCACCTTTATTCCTCTGAATAATATCTGTCTGGACTGATGGAAGGACAAGGTTGTGAAGTAAGAACATCAAAAGTGCCAAGAAAGGACACACGGACCAAGGGGGACGTTTCTAGGCCCCCCTGCTGTGTCTTCCCTCACCTGGTCATTAAGCTCTGAGGCTCTGAAAGCCATTCCAGGTGGAAAAGAAGGCGCCCTGACCTGTGGTGTGTGACAGTGTGTGCACGTGTGAGCATGAGAACACGTGTGTCCCGGCAGGCCACTGCACCGATGGTCTGTTGTATGTGGTTCGGCCCAGTAAACCGCTGATGCCAGATCTGGGAGGGGTGCTGAGTGGCGTGTGAACAGGCTGCTGGTGCTGGGGGAGGTGAGTGGCTAGTTTATAATCAGTACTGATTGATCAGAGTTTTAAAATGAGTGATTTCCGCTAGAAATTGTGCTGCTCTGTAGTCTTACTCAGCACGATACTTCCATATCATAAGACAATCTCAGGCCACAGCTGAGAGAAATGTTAGAACAGCGATAGGAGCATCTCTGCACTCGCAGGGCACTGTCGCTGTGTCCACAGAAGCCAGGGCAGAGATCTGTGTCCAGGAGGCGGGGGAAATCAGCTCACCACGCAACAAAGCTCCTCTTAGGGCTCTCCCTGACCTTTCCTCTTCGCTGTTAATGACCCGAGCCGAGGCGAGCGGGCTTTCCCAGGGGACACGGAGGACCTCCACCCCATCAGCGGGGCAGTCGGGCTGAGGGACCATGTTGCCCAGCCTCAGAGGCAGGGGCCCTCCAGGGCACAGAGGATTGGGGGCATCTCAGGACCGTGACTTGGGGGGGAGGGCTTGTTACAGGGTCCTTGGGGTGCACACCTGCTGGGAGCACCCGTCAGTTCTCCAGGAGAGGCAGGCTGCAGCTGGTTCCTGATACAGATCAGAAGGGGACACTGGACAGTCCTGCCTGGTGGGCGAGGAGGCACTGCGAGACGAGGGGTCACGGCAGGTCCGGAAGCCTGATGGTATTCAGGAGCCCAGAAGTGGGCCTCGTGAGAGAGCACATTTCCGGGGAAGTGGCCTGAGACTGTTGAGGCGAGGTCACCCCGCCCCATCGTGGCTGGGCTGGGGACAGGAGCAGGAGGCTGGGAGCTGACCGCTCCCCTGCTGGGGGCTCACTGCGAGGGAAGAGTGTTTTGAGCACTGGGAGGGTGAGGATGGAAGGCAGTGAGAGTCCAAAGAGCGAAAGGGTGAAGGAAAAGCAAGCAGCTGCTGGCCAGGGCATGGGGTCAGCCCCCAAAGGAGCACCAACCTTGCCTGACCTCGAGGACGCTAGGCTGGCTTTTGACTTGGCGTTGACCCTGTAGCCCTCGGGTTTTGAAAGGTCGGCCATAGTTGAGGGGACAGACGAGCCCACTCCCCTGGCATGGCCTCCTGTGCTCTGGCCTCTGCTGAATTCTCCGGCTCCGAGGATGGGGCTGGAGGAGGCCTGTTTCAGAGTCCTGGCCCGGCGGGTGTGAAGAGCACTTCTGTGCGGATGGAGTGCGTCTCTGCGCTTCAGGCACCGCCTGTCTGGTGTCTCGTCCGCACGTGTCTGAGGCCAGATCCCCTGCCTTGGCCGTGGTTTCCCGAGAGAGCCACCTTTGTTCCCAAGCCTTTGACCTTAAAGCATTTCGATCTTGATTCTACCTCGAAATGTCTGATTTATACCCCTAGCCACTTGGTCTTGAAAAAATGCAGTGTATCTGCATTTGGGGAAAGAAAAGGTGTTTGAGGGCTGTCCTCACCGCTTCTGTGCGGAGCTGTCGCATGGAGACACAGGTCGCCGGCCCCACCAGCCCCGTGGGGCAGCTTGTCCGGGGCCCTGGCAGGAATGTGCGTTAACAGAGGCTCGCCGGCTCCTGGAGGAAAACTGGCTGCTGTTCTTCCAGTTCTTTGGTGATCACATGGGTTGTGGAAGACTGATTTTAATACCAAATAACACTTGAGACCAAAGATTTCTCTTCTTAAGCAGATCTTCACTTCAGACTTCCTCGTGGGTGCAGCCTGTCCCTCCATCGGGCTTTCCGGCGCCGCCTCCTGGTCCCCTGCTCACCTGCTAGCTGCATGCCTGCCCAGGCCTTCAGGGCCCCCGTCACCCCATCAGCTCTGCCGCCTCTCCTCTCTGAGTTCCCGGCCCCTGGCCCCCGCCCCTTCCTCATGCCCATCCTCCCTGTACCCAAAGCTGACCATGCCACCCTTCTGAAGAACTCTGCCACCGGCCCCCGCTGCATGAGAGAAAAGCTTGATTAGTCAGTCCCACGTTCCAAGTCCCCTGCCAAACCCTGGCCCATCTCCATTTCCACCTCATTTCCAGCTGCCCTCTGCCTGTCATTCTTCCTGCCCGCTGCATCCCCAGCTGTGAACGTGTTAGACCTTTCCACGGCGCGTGCTTCTGTGCCTGGGACCTTCTCCCACCTAGTCATCCTTTGAGGCCTATCTTGAGGGCTGGCCCCTCTGTGACACCATCCCACATGCCCAGCCAGCATTAGGCTTCCCTCTACTTGTGCATCTGGCAGATGCTGGCTGTGCGTGGTCACAGTCCATGCTGGGCCTGGCCCTCTCTGTTCGCTGATGAGCAGCTGTCTGAGGTCCCGGGCTGGTGGGCTTTGTTTCACACAGTGCCTGCTGCATGCCAGTTGCTCAGGAAGGATTGGTGGGACGCACACAGGAGTCAGTGCATGAGCCTGGGGTCTCCATCTCTTGGCATCCCGCTTTCTGTCACAGGACACTGGGGCAGACTAGAGTGGCCAGAAGTGAATAATGGGCTCGGCCTCCAGTGAGTAACACCCTGTCATGGGAGGGGCAGGGGCAGGGTGCAGACCCGGGGGGGCTGTTGCATGCTGGGATGAGGGGGAGCACATGGGCTGCTCTGCTCTCTGTACCTCGAGGCCCGGATGTTACTGATGGCCACTGGTTCCATAAGGACACCAAGCCCTTCTGGCCAGGACAGCCAGGATCACCACGCTCTCATTAGCTTTGGAGTTGCTGTTAAATCCTTGAAGCAAAGGGCAGGCTCTCCCCTCGGTATAGTCCACGGCAAGGCTGCCAGCAGCCAGGCGCTCATCCCCCATTGGTACGGTATGAATAATTCCAGAGCACAGCTGCATCTCACAGCCTGCCCGCATCCCCACGGCACCCTGGGCTCTGTTTCCGGCTGGCTTTTCTGCAGCGGTCACCCTTGGTGAGGGAGTGGCGTGCTCCAGGATGCCCTGCTACGAGCGCCTCACCGCTGCTCCCACCAGCACGACTGGCACATCAGGTGGACCGGCTGGTCCCCAGAGAGGCTGGCCTTCCTCAGTCTTGTCAGTTGAGAGCCACACCTCATGGGCAGGGCAGCGTGTGAGCTGCGGCTCTGATCATGAAGTGTGCCAGTTATGGGCTTGCTGTGCCCTTTTTATACAATGCAGACCTGAATTTTTATTTCCAAACCACGTTCTGACTTTTTGAAAAGGCACGGTTGATTTACAGACAGAGGTGTCAGAGGTGTGGGCCATGCTTCCAGAAGCCTCCGTGCACAGTGCCCCCAGCCCCCCACTACCGTCTCGGATCCAGGGCTTCTGGAGGTGTGAGGAGACGACAGGCACTCGTTTAGCACCCACTGTGCTGAGCCGGAGGAGGGCATATGTGACACACATGTAACTTACAATCACAGGGACGTGACATGAAGCATATTTTTGAGCAGGACTCAAATCAGTAACCCAAAACAAGAGTCCTCACAAGACACGAGGGCCTGGACAAACGATAGCCCGCACCGCGGAGTGACCAGCAGGTGTGAAGCACACTGTGCCCATCCCCACCTGGGTGCAAGGCTTTGGGCTGGATCGGCAGCTAGTGGAGGAGGGGATGGAACAGTCAGCACAGTCCTCATCCTCGGAGGCCTTGCAGGGCAGTAGACCTGCAGACAAAGACCCGAAGTTCCTGATCAAGATGTGAGAGAGGCGCAGTCAGCACGATGCAGGTGGACGTTGGGGGTCTGCCGAGCGTCCCTCGAGGACTGGCATTGGGTCTGACCTTGAAGGAGGCTGTGGATGTGGGCAGAGAGATGGGGTCAGGAGGCCAGGACTGCAGGGCATTAGGAAGGGAAGGGCCCTCCGCTGCCCCAGCCCTGTTCCTTGGGCTGTGTCCCACTGGGCCTGTCTCCCTGTGAGCCACTGCCATGCGTCTGTGTCCCTGTCGGACCCAGAGCTCCTTTAGTCAGGGACCTGTCTCGGCCACCCTTAGTAATTCCTGTTGGACTGGTGAAGGGCAGGAAGGCCACTGGGTTGTTCTGAGTGCACAGATACGAGAGCATGTGAAATGCCTGGCCACAGTGCTCATTGGGGTGGGTAAGAGCAGGCAGTGGGGAGACCGGGGGCCCTCTGGTAGAAGTGGGGGGCCTTGCCTTCCACCTGAGGGTCGCCCACCCTTAGAAGGGCCCGGATCCTTTGTGAGGATTTAAGGTGGTGACTTGGGAGCAGGGGCAGGGTTGCCAAATGCCGCCCTCTGTGGCAGATACACCGCCAAGTGCTGCTCGGGCCCCTGGGCCTGCATTGTGTGAGCGTGTGCGTGCTTGCGCGTGCACCCTCTTCCACGTGCGCAGGTGCACACACCACCACCCGTGTCTCTTCCCACCAGCAGACTGTGCTGTCGCCTCCCTTCTCTCCCTTACACCCGGCCACCACAGGTGCTGTGGGGCCCCAGATGTGTCCCCACACAGTCTGTGTGGCGTTTTGTGCTCTGCTCACAATCGTCTGCCCCTGCCTGCTCTGTGCAGGGGTATTTCAGTGACGCCTGGAACACGTTTGACTCGCTCATCGTAATGGGCAGCATTATAGACGTGGCCCTCAGCGAAGCCGATGTGAGTATCTGCCTGGTCGCGGCCGCCACCTCCCACGCTCTCTGTCTGCCCACGTTCTGCTCCCCGCTGGCACCACCTGGACAAGTCACAGTCCCACCTGCACTTGGCCTGCCACCAGGAGAGTCCTAATGAGAGCTGTGGGAAGAGGCCTTTCAGGCAGAGCCTTATGCCAGGCTTTTTAGGCACACGTCACCTTTGGGAGCATTCCCGGGGCCACTGTAGGCAGGGTAAGGTAGGCACCTGATGGTTTCATCTGCTGTGTCAGAGCCACTCCCAGAGTGACAGACCTCTGATGTGTTTGTTTCAGGGCCATTTTTCAGATGGGTGGCTCAGTGCTAGAATGTTCCCCTTTTCTAACCCTGTCCTTTTCTTCTCTTTTCCTGCTGTGCTTCCCCTCCTGTGGCTTCTGGACACTTGCTTGCCCTAACAGCACTATTTCACTGATGCATGGAACACTTTTGATGCCCTAATTGTCGTTGGCAGCGTGGTCGACATTGCTATAACTGAAGTGAATGTAAGTAGCCAATTCTGTGTCCTGTAACGTGATTGTTTTCGTTAAGTCTCGCCTGGAGGAGACTAACCCCTGCCGTGGGCCTCACGTGCTTTCGAAATTCAGGTGCAGATTTGCAGGGGAACCCTAAGGACATTCTTTGGGCTCCAGCCGTTCCCCCACCCCTTCCCCGAAAGTGTGGGGAGATAAAGGGAGACTCACCCTGTGCAGCCAAAACATCATTTTAAAGGAAGAGCTTGTTACAGGGTTAAGGGCGGGGGGCTGACCAGGAACACCGTCACTCACCAGCTGTGAGCTCGGCAGGGTACCTGACCGCTTGGAGCCTTGGTTCTTCCAGCTATAAAATGGGGTTTGGTACATGTGCCCTGCCCCTGGTGCTGTGAAGGCCCAGGGGGGAGCCTCACGGCCATGCCCTCAACTGGTGGCTGCTGCCACCAGTGTCCTCGCCTGTACCCCGTGCCTGCTGGGCCCACCTGGTGTCCCTGCAAAATCCTTGCCCTAGCTCCCCGAAGGGCCGGCCAGGGAGGAGGGTCCAGTGAGCAGCAGGACAGGGTGTCTGGGCTTCTTTACTGCCCTCAGTTACATCATTTGGTGAGGAAACAAGGTCAGCAGCCTCGTGGTGGGTGGAGCGACCCCCCTGCAAAATTAAGGGACTAGAGGAAGTGCAGCATCTCCCACCTCTCCTCCTGGAGCTGACGCAGGCCCAGCTCCAAGGGCCTGGGGCAGCAGAAATGGTCCTACCCTCGCGGTCTGCCCGGGGCTGCAGGGCCTTGTGGGTGTGGGCTGTGGGCACTGCTGGTGGAGCCCTCCCCAGGGGGCAGGCCTGGGGCGGGATGCAGACTGCCCTGGCTCACCCTACCCCTTGCGGCCCGGCCCTCCTCCCGCAGCCCCTGGCCGCACGCTTGCCTGGCACATGACTGCAGGCTGTACCATCCATCCTGGTGCCCAGGTAGCCTGTTGTCAGACAAGCGTGGTGAAATCCCTTCCTGCCACCTGTTGAAGCTGGGCTGATTCTGTAGGCCGACCAGGGGACAGCCACCGGCCTGGCCCGCTCGAGGCCTGGCATCCCAGCTCACCCTGCTTGGTCCCTCGTGGATGAACTAGGACGGTGATGCCTGCCCCCCCTGCTCTGTGGGTGTGTGTGCTGATAAACTGAATACCTGAGGACACATTTGCTAAAAAGCCCAAGGTATCAGGGAGAAACACGGTACTCTGTAGGCGTAGCTTTTCCAGGTAACAAGATGGCCTTCAAGGCATCACTGTGCCCATGAGGGTGTGACTGAGCCCCCCTAACACCCACATCCATGCCGTGGCACGGTACTAAAATGGTATCTTGCTGGACCTGGGAACATTCGTCCCCCACCTGCATAAGCCCAGACTTCTGTAAATCCCACCTTGGGTGAAACATTCCCTAAGTCAGCTATGAAGTTGCCACTCAGTGTGTAAATGATTCTTGGTCATGAAATAATCTGGTGCTGATGGGAGAGCACCAGGGCCCTAACGGGGCTGAGTTTATGGCCAGACATTGGCCTGCTTAACCATGTCACAATGGAAAGCACTTACGACCTACATCAAAGTATACGTACGTGAAGCTTCTGGATCAGACCATCTGTAAGTCAGAGACGGTCTATACCAGAAATGAAGATATAACAAACTGCGGTTTCAGCAGGTCCCCTGGGGCATTTGGTGTCATACAGGTGGTAGACGGAGGTGCTTATTTCTGGGTACCAGGACTGGCCAACATCTGTTCGCCAGGTGAACAGCCACCTGCTGCCTGGCAGGCTGGGCGCTGGTGCAGGCAGCGACAGCACATGCCTGCTGCCCGGCCACCTCGCTGTGTGCAGGGGGCAGGTCCCACTGCACATGTCCCCTCTGGTCCGGCCTTGCTCATCGTGTCTCAGGAGGGTCCTCCACCTCACCTCAGTCAGGAAAGCTGCAGAAGTCCATGCTGGATTTTCTAGTTAGCGTCTCACATTGGGGTGTCTGTCCAAGCCCATTTCTGGCCCTCAGACGTTCAGAATTGCACTGGTACACAGTTCTGGGTGTTCAGTCAGTGACCTTTCACCCGGTCAGATGTCACGTGAGGCCAGACCTCCGTCAGTGGGGCAATGCCAGGTCTCGGCCCTGGGCCCATAGAATGCCGCCCTGGGGGGAATCACAGCATGTCTGTGCTGGGCCTTCATGCAGCCACTGTTTCATGTGCTCAGCCTCCCAACACGTCGGCATCTACAGTTCACGGGCTACAAAGACAAAGGGACAGGCTGTCCTGGCAGTGCGACTGTCTGAGTAGAGCCCCCGATTCTGACGCCGCCGACCCCCACCCCCACCCGCACATGCCGAGCACCCCTACCCCCGTGGTGGCCTTGTTCCCCAGGCTCTTGGGCCAGCTGAGCATGAGCACCCCTGGCGCACTGTGGGCCGGTTCTAGCTGCCACATGTCATCATTTTCTGCGGTATTTAACTTGCTGTGCTCTCTCTCCCAACCTCTGTTGATCTTTCTTTTCTGTTGCCTAATTCATGTTCATGTTGCTTTTATTTTTAGAAAATTGTAGCGGCAAGTATATATAAACATATATACGGTGAAGTTGTTCAAACGAACGCACTTTACAGACTGTTTATGTGTTTTTGCTTCCCCACCTCCGGTTTTCACTGAGTTCACAGGACGTGCTACTGGTTGTGGTCATCTAAATTGTTTCCCATCCCATATCTCCTCGTCTGCAGCCTGGGGCCTGAGCGGGCCCATCTGGGGCTGGCACGCGTGGCCACATGACTGGCCAGCACGGTCCCCTGGAATGATTGATTGGCCTGCAGGGAGAGCTCGGGCTTGCCTTTGTCCTGGCTGCAGAAACATTTTGGATGGCCCTTTCTGTCGCCTTGCTTGCATGCTCGCCCAGCCTCTGCCCCCTGCTGCCCCCTCCCACGTCCCCCACCCTGCTTGACCGTGGCCTGGTAGCTCTCGTGGACTGGTCTTCATCGCATGTGGTTGTCACATCACCCATCTGCTGGAACGTCACAGGATGACTGGCAGCCTCCCTTTTGCTCCTTCGTTGGTGCCGGTTTGTTCCTCAAATGGTGGAATGGACCCATCAGCATATTTCTCCCTAACCTGGGCACGGCTGTCGCTGGCATTCACCTCTCTCATTATTGTTGTTGCCCTGCTGTGACTCGCCGGAGCATATGTGAGGGGGTAGTAGGGGCTCACTCTGAGGAACCCAGAAATTGTTCCTGACTTGTCAGGTACCCAGTTTGGACCAGCTGGCAACAGTTGCACTTGGCCTCCTGTTCTAAGCCCACGGTCAGGTTGCTCAGCCCCCCAGTTCGCAGAATAACCCTTTTCCAGGGGCCAGGTCACTGGTTCTGGACACAGCCTCCGCAATCCCAAAGCAGGAGCCTCCTTCCGAGGCAGAGTCCCTAGGACTGGGTTTTCCGGGGTGCCTCAGGTTAACTAGCTCAGGGATGCTGGCTTGCTCTCCATCTGAACTGGAAAACCAGACCTCCCAGCTCAGCAAGAGATGGGACTTAATACAGGAAGTGCAGACGGGTCCCTCTGGTTGCACGTGGGGAGCACAGGGCTCATAATGGCCCCAAGCCTGCAGCTCAGGAGCCTGCTGAGAACCTGTGGGAAGGGGCTGGAGGGGGCGTCAGGGGAGCCCTGGGACGTAAGCAGCTTTCTGGATACTGGCATGTGGCTTGGCCTCCTGAGGGCTTCCAGGTGGACACTGCAGCATCTCAGCATTGGAAGTTACTACTGAGGTCATCTGGGCCAGGCCCCGAGATGACACAGGAGTTCCCTCTATGAGAGCTGCTCATGTAGCCCCTGGCACCTGCCTGTGGAAAGCTGCCTATGAGGGAGTCAGTCCTGCCCAGTCTCGGTCCTCCGCAGCGTCCTGCACTTGGTCCCAGCGGATTCGCAGAGTGGCAGCTCCCGTGAGTTCTGTATCTGCCCTTCAGCAGCTCCCGTTGTTTGCAAGCTGCGTCTGTCCCTTGTAAGGAGGACGGGGACAGAGTCTGATCTCTTTGCGTCCATCTGAGTACTGACCCTCACCAACTCCAGAAGAACTCACTGCTCAGCTGTAACAGCCTGAGTGGGCTTTTCTGGTAGTCTGACTCTGCGTGGCCAGTCCAGACCTAGAAGGAATTGGCTGGCATGGCTGACCAGTGCTACCAGCTTAGGACAGAAGTTCCCAGCTTCTAAAACCCCCGGAGGTGGGGCACACCCCGGCTCAGTTAAATGAGCCTCCCTGGGGTGGGTCTCATGCATCTAATCTTGGTAAATAATCCCAGCAGGTCCAGTGCTGCCCACGGTGGGAGCCGCCTGCCCTTCTATAGCTGGCTGGCATTTCTGTTTGGGCAAAGCCGTCCCCAGAGTCCTTCCAATTTGCAGGGTATTCTGGCACCTTGCAGCGTGCCCCATGCTGCCGGCTACACCCTCCCCAGTGGTAGCCTGCGCTGCCCAGGGCACCCCGGGCAGGGGAGGGCAGAGCAGGGGCCTTGCTGCTGGGAGCTGCAGCTCCTTCCTTCCTGCCCTGCTTGTCCTGCTGCCGGGTCCCCACCAGTAAGCGGTGTCTCTGCTCCCTCGTTTTTTAAACAAAATCCTCTCTGTGATGGCAAGTTCATCACTTAGGATTTGTCACACTTGGAAGATGTCACTTGGAAAAGGATCCAGCGCAGAGGCTGGCTTGGCTGCTGGCTCTGCCCTCGTGAAGGGCAGAGGGGGATCGGCGGCAGGTGGCAGGCTCAGGGTGCCCTGGGGCATCTCCAGACCCGACCCATGGGCCTCCTTATCCTCTTGCAGGTCCAACACACACGTTACGGACATTTCAAACGTGCGGCTGCAGAGCGCTCTGTCTCATGCACTCTGTCCCCTTGAGCACAGGCAGGCAGAGGCGTGCACACATTGCACGTGCACCCACTGACACACACGCACACCCCACAGCTGCATGGGCCTGACTGAAGCCTTCCTGCACACAGCCCTTTGGGAGATGGTGTGGGAAGCAGTGAGAACTTTGGAAAACTAATTCCTTCATTTGTCAAAGCCTTAAGTCGAGAACCATCATCTGTCCCTCTAAGGAGATGTTTGTTTTCAGGGAGGTAATAGAAGAGGAGAATAAAAATAGGGGCCTGGGGTTTGGACAAACCCACTGCAGAGTTCACCTGAGCATCCCCGGTGAGGCAGGGACCCCTGGTGACCCCATCAGAACTTAGTCCTGAGTTTGCAGTCTCTTTGCTGGGTCACAGAGGAGACTGAGGGGCCCAAGTGCCTCGTTCTCTGTGCATTATATGTTCAGTTCCAGCTGTTGACAAGAGTGACATTTCCGGGCTGTAGGCTGGGAATCAGACACTTCTGTAGGGAAACCGGCCTCCACCTCCCACTGAGCCAGGCCGTCTAGATCCTTGGCTGCCCTGCCAGAGAGGGTACCTTCGGACACACGCTGCCCAGGCATGCGGCCGGGGACAGAGCGTGGCCCCAGAGGCCTGTGGGCCCCGGGCAGGTGCCTCTGTGTCTGTCCCACGGGCAATCACTCTGTTCCTCAGGGTTGACAGTGGCCTGCTACAGAGCCGTTAGTTTGTGACTTAGCAAAGAGAATGAGTCTTCCCCGAGCATTAGAGTCCCCTCTGCACTTCTGTCGGGGCACAGCTGGGGCTAGAACACCCTCGTTCCCTGCTGACTGCCAGTCTTGGAGCACCACATCCTGGGGTGCAGATTAGAGAGTAGGGTGCCTGAGTCTGTGTCCACGGCCCCCACCCCTGCCCCCCAGTCCAGCTCCTGGCAGTGCCCCTGGCATTTGTTTAGGGAGGGGCAGGTGTGTTATCCCAAGACACTAACCACAAGTCTTTAAAAAGGGGGCAGGGGCAGCCTCCTGAGCCTCGACTTCCTTCCTGTCCATTAACGCCTTCTCAATCTTTGATTTCTTAAAGCCAACTGCCAGTGAAAAGGCCCCTGTCCCAACTGCCACACCTGGGGTAAGATCGGTGACTAGTCCCCGGGGCTGGGCTGCCTCCTCCAGTTTTTCTGGCCCTGTCATTTTCCACTAAATTTCTGTCCTTCCCCGTGACTGTCCTTCCGGAGCGGTGTGTGCAGGGGTTCGTGTCTGTCATCAGTGTCCAGTACCCCTGGCCAGCCCTCCACTCCCCTCCAGCACGCCAGACCACGTGGGCGTGCATGTGCCCTGTGCACGGTTTCCAAGCCCTGTGCTGTTAGCATGTCACTTTCCCTTTCATGTCATGCTTTTTACAGTGAAAAGTCCCCAGAAACATCAGTCTTACCTCTGTCACCCTTGTTTGCCCCTGTTGCTGTTTTTCTGAAAGTGTTGCATGTTCCATTTGCCGTTGGGTTTGACCTCTCCATGCTAACCCTTCAGAACTCTGAAGAGAGCAATAGAATCTCCATCACCTTTTTCCGTCTTTTCCGAGTGATGCGACTGGTGAAGCTCCTCAGCAGGGGGGAAGGCATCCGGACGCTGCTGTGGACTTTCATTAAGTCCTTCCAGGTGAGGGCTGTGCTGTGACGTCTCTGCTCACCTTTGAAAGTCACACGTAAGTCAGGGAGTGTCCCCTGTTGTGGGGGACCCAGATTCCTTCTACATGACCACTGTGACCTAGGGGTCACAGGTCACATGGCTGGCTAAGTGGGTAGAGAATATGAGATGTTGGGAGGGACAGACTGACGGTGTGTGACTTGGGTAAATCAACCAGGAGTCCTTGCTGCAAGGAAGAGGCCCCCAGGGGTCGGTGGTCTGTGCCCGGCTGCCGCTGGGACAAGAGGCCAGTGCTGAGCTGGTGTCTTCCCTCCCAGGCGCTCCCGTACGTCGCCCTCCTCATAGCCATGCTGTTCTTCATCTATGCGGTTATCGGCATGCAGGTAAGCCCCAGCCACCCTTCCCCTGGGCGCCTGTGCCGGGTAGCCCCAAACCTGTGGCAAGATGTACCCTGGTCCTGCGGAATGGAAAGAGCAGCTCGTGGTTTTTCGGCCAGCCGCTGCGGCTGCTGAAGGGATGTGGAGATGAGACAGACGTGGCTCCCTGGGCGGGAGCCCGTGCTTGGGGGGGTGCCAGGCTCAGAGGAGCAAGGAGAGGCTGGAACGTGCCGAGGAAGGCTGGCCTGAGTGGAGCTCTTCACCCCACCTTGGGGGCGGGTCCGTGGAATGAGAAAACCCATAGCTGACTTTAGTAACAGGAAAGGCCATCCTGAAAGAAGCCATATTGTGCTGTTTTCTGTGGGGATGTCAAGAGGATACTTAGCGATGCAAAAGTCTGTTCATATTCTGAAAAATTATGTTTTGTAACCAAGAGACTCACTTCACACATGGATATATGGGGAAGGGGGAGCTGGAGCCGTCACCCTGCCTCCAGAGCGCCCATCTTTCTGTGTCCCTGAGCTCCTCCTGGAGTGGGGAAAGGGATTGGGGCGTTCCTAACCACCGAGCCCTGACTCAGAGAGGGGCTGGGCAGAGCCCCCAGGCGGAGCAGGCATGGAGCGCAGCCCCGCCTGGCCCTCCCTGGGTGCCCTCTGCTGGTTCACATGCCTCCTGCTGATACGGGGGCAACGTGAGCGTGGAAGAGGCGGGAGGCTTCCAGAGACAGAATGGTCGTGCTTGCTTTTGTATTCCGAGGGCATGGAAGCATTTGCTAGTCTTACGCTAGGCATCTTGCTGGGAGTTAGGACCCAGGAGCCAGCATACCCGAGCCCTGTAGGCCAGCATGTGATGCTGTGTGCCCTGAAGGGTCCTGTGCACCCCAGTCTCCTGCAAGACCACAGCCGTCTCAGAAGCTGCCTTGCGTGTGCCGCCTCCGATCCACTCGGGGGCTTGCCAGGCATCAGCCTCCTCAGAAGTGTGGCTCTGCGCCTACTGCTCCCACAAGGAGTTGTCCCTTACCTGGCCTTGCCATTGCAGTAAAGCCTGCCCACCCTCTGTGCCCACTGGCCTCCCCCCTGACTGCCTGCAGCCTGGCCTTTTGTCTGCAGCTCACGTTTCGTTTCCTGCAGCACCCGTATGGTGTCACCTCAGCTCCTTTGCAGGCTGCCATCACTCTGCCTGGGACACCTCTCACCCTCCCTGTCACCTGCATGGCTTCTACTTTTCCTTTAGTTCCAGGCTTAAATGTCACTCCCCCAGAGGCCCTCTGGGACCCCAGCTCCCAGCCTCAGATATGTGAGCCTGTCACGTGCTTCCCTGTCTGCCTGGGTCATCCCAGCTCCCATCAGGAGGGGCTGTCTGTCTGGTGACCTTTGTGTCCACGCCCCTCCTCCGCCCACCCAGTGTGGGAACTCCCTCAGGGAGGACATGCCTGACTTCAGTGCCATGTTCCCAGGGCTTAGCACCGTGCCAGCATACGTTTTCGGTGAACGACACGCTGGCCCGTGAAACAGCCTAGCAGCGTTTGATCAAACCTGAGTTAGTTCTGAGTTCAATATGCAGTCTGGGTTTGTTTTTGTATGACAAAAATCTGTTCTTTTTTCCCTAATGTGTCTTCACTAGATGTTTGGGAAGGTTGCTATGAGAGACAACAACCAGATCAACAGGAATAACAACTTCCAGACCTTTCCGCAGGCGGTGTTGCTGCTGTTCAGGTGAGGTCTGTGGCGCGACCTCCCTCTGGGCTCCGCGAGACGGAGGCCGGGTGTTCTGGAGCAGCGCGGCCCTCCCCAGGCACTCGTGGGGGTCTTCTGTACTGTTGGTGTTCTTAAATGGAGACACTAGCATGCCAGGCAGGCACAGAGAGCCTTAGCTGCACTGTTGAAACTGTGGCTGTGGCCGGGTGAAGGTTTCTCCTCTTGGGAGTGAGTCGGTCTGCTGAGGCCACTAGGAAAATTGTAGGATAGATGCTTATGCATGGCAGCATGCACTCCGACACAGCCGGGAACATGGACATGCAGCAGCCAGTGGGCAGCCGTAAGAGGTGCACCTCCCAGTGTTACGGCATTGTTTTTAAACCCAGCTCATGGACTTTGTGAACAAGGCACCTCAAAGTGAGAGGACTTTCTAGAAAACAAACTAGTCATTTCTAATGACTGTAGTGACTGGATAGCAAGTCATTTGCCAGTTAGGTGTTTTCCAATTCTTTGCTTTCAACAAAGTTGAACGGGGACCTGATCAAGTGGTTAAATGTTAGGTCCTCATTTAAAAAACCACAGTCATTTTAAATTGTTAAGGTGGTTAAGAAAGGAAAGACACAAAAATATTCATTTTTGCAAAAGGAATCGATATATTTGTATCACATGATTGTTACAAATCATGGTTTTAGCAGAGCCTCCTCTTAGATAAGTTCCATTTGAAAATGAGTGGGAATTTCAGCTTAAGAATTGTCACTTGTTCACACTGGCTTTCCCCCAAATTACTTAGGCCTTGCTCTACTTGAATTTTTTTCTTAAAAATTAAAAAAAGAAGTCTTAAAGGTCAAAGCCTCGACTCCCTTCTTCCTCCACTAACACCCTTTCTTTTCTTAATCTGAAAAGGTGTGCAACGGGGGAGGCCTGGCAGGAGATCATGCTGGCCTGCCTCCCCGGGAAGCTGTGTGACCCCGAGTCTGATCACAACCCCGGGGAGGAGCACACGTGTGGGAGCAACTTCGCCATTGTTTACTTCATCAGTTTTTACATGCTCTGCGCCTTTCTGGTAAATGATCGGAGTAGCTGCCCTCCGAATTCGCAGATATTTGTGTGGCCTCCGGGATTCAGACCAGCGATGGTGCCCGTCAAATCGCTGGGGGTGTTTGCTGACGAGCCCTCTGGGCTCCATTCGGCAGGTGGAGGGTTTTGCCATTGGCCTGTTACTAGCACCTTTGTTCTGAGCAGGGGCCTCATGCTCACTAACAGGCCTGGGGCCTCGTCCCCCAGCTTCTCGGGGCTGCTGGTTCCTTCTTAAAAATTCCCAAGCCAGCACACTTAGCAGTGACGTCAGGGTGTGAGTATTCGGTGGCAGTGAAATTGTGAAACTGCAGTGTGAGCCACAAGACCAGATAACACGTAACATGTCCCCTGCCCTCCCCTGGACCAAACCAAAGCCACTTTGGGAAGCCAGAAGCCTGCCTTTTTCTGAAATGTTCTCCAGAAGGAAAGTCTTCACAGTCTCTCTTGGGGAAGTGGGTTCAAATGCTGCGTGACCCTTATGATCAGGAAGCACGTACGGGGGTCTCACCAAGCCCGGCCAGGACAGCTGACACTTCCTCCTTCTGACTTGCCTTCACAGATCATCAACCTGTTCGTGGCGGTCATCATGGACAATTTTGATTATCTGACCCGGGACTGGTCAATTCTGGGGCCTCACCATTTAGATGAATTCAAAAGAATATGGTCAGAATATGACCCTGAGGCAAAGTAGGTTGAAAGGGATTCCATGTGGCTTGTGCGGGCTGTGGCTGGAACGCTGGCCGTGACCATGGGAGGCGGGAGGGCCTGGACGCTGCCCGGCCCTCATGCTGTACTTCGTGTCCAGGGGAAGGATCAAGCACCTGGACGTGGTCACGCTGCTCCGCCGCATCCAGCCTCCCCTGGGGTTTGGGAAATTATGTCCGCACAGAGTAGCCTGTAAGGTGAGCCTCCGTTTGCGTGTCCGACGGCCTCTCTTGCAGGGACTCTGCTTCCGTCAGCAAGCCTTCCAGCCACACTGGGGCGGGAGAGGCGGATACGTGGGCCTGTCCTGGGGAGCCTCAGGTTTTGACAAGACACCCTGTTGGCCAATAATAAGAGGAAGGGAGTTAGGTCATTGGGCGGCTGCAGCGGGAGGTGCCGTCTGCTCCAGGTCCCACAGGAGAGAAGTAGGAGTTTGTCAGAGCAGGAAGGACACTGCAGAAAAGGCGCAGAGGGCCTGACACGGGGCAGGGCTGCACAGGGATGAGGGACGGCAGCGAACACGTGCTGCAAAGGGACGCGCTGTCCCCCGCTGTCTGCATTCTGGTGAGAAGCTCTTCTTCCCGTTCACAGAGACTAGTCGCCATGAACATGCCTCTCAACAGTGACGGGACCGTCATGTTCAATGCAACTTTGTTTGCTCTGGTCCGCACAGCGCTTAAAATCAAGACGGAAGGTGAGTGTTCCCAGAAGCAGGACAGGGCATAAGAGGGACAGTGTCGAGACTGTGTCCTCCCCTTGGGGCCTTTTCTTGTCAAAGGGGGGCGCCTGAGGAGGGCCCTGCATGCAGTGAGATCATGCTGGGCCAGCTGGCTTCCCTTGCCTTCCTCAGCTCCTCTCCTCCCTTTATGCTTCACTTGTCCCAGGAAGTCTGGAGGTGAGCGTGCTACTGCTTGCCACAGAGAAGGAGAAATAGGTGGCAGAGCAGGCCAGAGACAGGAGCTCTCTCCAGAGTCTCTTACCATGTGTGCCCTGCAGGGAGGGGTTTTGAGGTCTGGTGCTATAGTCTCTCTATTAAAGGGAGATGAAGTCCTGAGGCGGAGAGGCATTGTCTGCAGAGACCCCTTTGCAGTGCTGGCACCGGGTTGGCATTTGGGAAATACTGTCGGGACCAGCCCCTGCCTGGCAGAGACCATGCCGGCGCTGGTAGAGCAGCCCTGGAGCATGGCCGCTGGGGTGGGCTTGGTGGTGACTTAAGAGGTGGACTGGAAAGCAGATTGCAGCAGGTTGAGGAGTGACCAGGAGGGATGCACTTGGTGGAGGAGAGGGACGCAGGGCCGGCGGAACGCGAGGGACACTGCACAGCTCTTTGTGCGTGGCCGCAGGGCTCAGGGCGAATCTCTCCAGCAGGGCCGTTTCTTCCAGCTACCACACACCCCTTGCGGTGTGCGCACCTGTGCCTGGCCCTGCCCGCATCACTGAGCCGGGCAGAGGACCAGCGGCCTTTGTCCTGACCTGTTGGCCCATATAACAAAAGACCAAGTCTCCGCAGTACTGACAAGGACACTCCAGGAATTGAGAGAGTCTTATTCGGGTGAAGTTTAGTCCGGATCTTCAAGGCTGGAGGCAGAATATGGAACAGGCAGCGAAGGAGTAGGAGACATTCTGGGCCGGGAGCAGGTGCTGGCTGTGAGGGTGGTGCAGGGTTAGGGGGTGATGGGCCTGGGATCCGGGATCGAACACCGTCGTGTCCACGGCAGAGCGCTGCCCACAGGAAGGCCTGAGAGCTGTTTGCTGGTACAGGAAGTGCCAGTACCCTGGCTGGGGAGCCTGGGGGAGGGCGACCCCCTCTGAGGGCTGAGCCCCAAGCTGGCCAGGCTGGGGAGAAGCAGCCACGGTGAGAGCAGAGGCGGAGCTGTGGGAAAGAAGCCAGGCATGTCTCCCCTCTCGCTCTCTGAACCCAGGGAACCTGGAACAGGCAAATGAAGAGCTCCGAGCTGTGATAAAGAAAATCTGGAAGAAAACCAGCATGAAACTTCTCGACCAAGTCGTCCCTCCAGCTGGTGGTCAGTGTGATCTCTTTCCTCGTGGTTCTCGGCCAGCGCTTTGGCTGTGATGAAGGTCTCCAGCGAGCCCAGAGCGTTGCCAGGATGCTTAGGTGTCAGGGCATTGAGGCCAACAGCCAAAGCAGGCCTCCCGGCCACTTGGTGCGGTTACCTGGGCTGATAGGGAGAAGGCTCGAGACAGAGGAGAGGCTTCAGTGGGAAGGAAACCCCAGACCCAGATGGCTGAGCAGGGCTTCCTCGGTGCAGGAGCTGCCATAAAAAGCTTGCTGTCTCAACACAAAACCCTGTATTAGTTTCATGCAAAACGAAACATTTAAAACTGGTTTCCTTTTATCCTTCAACAGAATGTTGAAAAGTGTCGTAAAAAAAAAAAAACCAATAGCTTTCAGAAAAATGGCATTTTTGAAATGTTCTCAAGACCGAATTTACCACCACAATGACCCCAAATGCCCCTATATCTAGAATTTACAGACAGAACTAACAGGCATGCTTATTTCATTTTGCTTATCCCAAAATAACTGACTAAGCGTTTTTCAGATTTATATATATATATAACGCACACCCATATATATATAATATGTATACCGTTTCTCTGTTTCTGTTTAAGTACACGTGGCCTTAGCAGTTGAGGTGGTTGTTCTGTGACTGTTTTATTTTCACGTTTTAAAAGTGCAGGATCTGTTGCCTCCGTGCCACCGTGCCCAGCCTTCGAGTCCTCCCTAGCCCCGGGCGCATTGCGAGCCTTCGGTGGGTTTTGTAACCAGCCGAACTGGGAGAGGGTCACCCCTCCTGCAGCCTGCAGGATCGGTCTGGCTCAGGGCTGGAAGCCGACTCTGAAACCCTGGGCTAGGACGGGGGCCGAGGCCTCTCCCTCTGAGGAGGTGACTACATCTGGCTATCAGGGACAGAGAGAGTGGCACGCTGGCTGCCTCTGCTCCACAGCAGGAAGCGAGGAGCAGTGCAAGCGAGCTCTTGTCTCCTGCAGATGGCATGGCTGCCAGCTCAGTGCAGGGGCAGATGGCTCATGAAGAAGTGGTGAAGGGAAAGCACAAACAAAACGAACCCCCAATGAAGAGCAAAGGAACAAAGCCGCCCCGTAGGGAGCCCTGGCTTTCCCCTGGGGAACTGATGCTGCACATTTAAAACGACTCTGGTTTCCATTCTCTCCCTCTGCAGCTCTGCGCCACGTGCCTGCATGGCTTAGATCAGTCGCTCTTTTAAATTGTTGTAACGGTGTGCTTGAGCTTTTCCTGCAGCCTCCATTCCTTTCAGCTCTCAGTCTTTCAGAATATTCTGAAGCAATTCTGTTTTAGGGTGGTGGCATGGAATAGAGTTATCTCTTTCCAACTGTATTCCCCTACAATGTTTCTTGAACGACAGATGTGTGCTTCAGAACAGCGGCTGTGCGGTCCCAGTAAACCTCCCGTGGCCGGGCCCCGTCCCCCAAGCTCCCCCTCACACCTCCCCTGAAGGGCCACCTTCGTCACAGACCGGGCTCACTGACACACGGTACCCATCCTGGGGACACTCTCTGGGGTCAAGCTCCTGTGAAACTTTGCTTCGTTTAATTTTACCAGAAAAAAAGTCCAGAATTTCCCTCATGATCTAAGTTCCCTTCTCTGAAAAGTGGATCCGTGATTAGCTTGACTAGAACGTTTGATAGAGGCTAAATATTCTTCTGCTTTCTTGGTCCAGGAAGGACCTGGCCCTTTCTCTGTATTTCTTTACAAAGATAGGTTTAGGATGACAAGTGTTCCTCTATAATCTGTTCCAGAGGGCAGAAAGGCACCTTGAAACCTAAGAGGGGAATGGGGTCTTAGCAGGAGAGGGAATGTTCTGGAAGTTCCACGTCACTGTGAGGACCTAGCACAGTGCTTATCCAGGCTTAGTCTCAGCCAACGGCTGCTGCCATGTAAGTTCAAAAGGCAGTGAGTGACCTTCCGGCCTCCGTGAACAGCCTGAAGGGGCTGCCGCCAGGGTTTTAGCATCTGCGCTGACCACCTGTCTCTTTGCCCTTCTTTTATTTTCTAGTAGCCTTGCCCACATCGTGGCCCACTTAGAGATGGGTGTCTGTATGCCCCTCTGGGCCAGCAAATGGGTAGCCCCCCAAGGCCGGGGGGCTAATGGAGTCTGGTCAGAGCAGCCTGAGCCAGGCCAGCCACTCCTGGCATGGGAACTGACCCCTGGGGGGGCCCCGTGCAGATCAGGTGAAGCAGGGTGGCTGCCCGTCTTCGGAGGCTTTGTAGCTCACGTGAGGTGGGAGGCGTCCCAGGTCATAGTGGGCTTGCTGGCGAGCCGCACACGGGCTGCCACGGGGCACCTGGCCTTTCCTGTGTGCTCGGGTCCACTGGTCATCAGGCTGAGCCGCCTCGCTTCCCATCTCTGAGTTTTGCCCATCCTCCCTGCGCTCTCCAGCCTTCTCGCACTAGAGAGCCGACCCCATCTCTTTCTCCCGGGTCCTGAGCTCAGACAGCATTACCACACCCACTCCTTCTTCATTCATAACCTGCGAGGGCAGGGGCTCTTCCTGGACCTCAGGGGAGACCACGCCGTCCTTGAATTGGCCCTGCGGAGTCCCAGGCTGGCCCGCCAGCCCCTTGGAGCCGTCCCCCGGGTGGAAGCACAGTCAGCGCTCTGCTCCGAGCATGCTGCCTCCTGCAGGGCCCCCTGGGCCCCTCCAGGCTCGTGCAGTCCAGGCTGCAGGGAGACAGGGACCAGGCACAGCTCGGGGTGGATTGTGGATCTGTGTTGTTTCTGGGAGCCCACAGAGGAGGCTCAAAGCAGGGGGTGCCCATGACCCAGTGGGGGTGGGGCAGTTCCCGTGGCTTCTCTGTCTGCAGCCAGTCCACCTCTTGCATTCAGCCCCGTAGATAGACTTGTAGTCTGGGAGGGGGTCCCCAAAGGAGCAAATGGTCCTGTGGCACCGCTGGGCCATCCGTCAGGGGAGGCGCAGAGGAGGAGACGAGCCAGTCTTGGGGGTGCAGTGCCCAGGCTGTTTGGCTTCTCCCCGCCTGTCAGAGAGGTGAGCAGGCCCCCACCCCGGAGTTGTGTGAAGAGGCCCTGAGCCCTCTTGGAAGTCCTGTGACCCAGGGCCTGGCACCGTGGGTGCCCTACAGTAGGGGTCGCTGGAACTGGTATTCCAGACGCACCCCGGGCAAGGAGGTGAGCAGTTTGAGAGCAGAACAGGGCTGAGCTATCAAGACCAAGTGGCCTCTGTTTACCTCCCACCTCCTTAAGTACCGACAGTACATCTTAGGTTGCCTAGACCAGCCTGAGACCGATGGGGGACACAAAGCCTTGCTTGCTCGGTGGCCCCCATGTCACTCCAGAACTGGCTCACTGTGGGTTTAGAAAAAATGCAACATTCTTCCCGAAGCCGGCTGCCCCAAGGCGCATCTCACACAGTAACAAAGTAGCCCCTGCCAGGGAAGTTTGGAGAGGTGCCCAGAGTGGCCCAGAGGTACCAGGCAGACACTAAATGAACCCCACCCAGGGTCCGTTAGTGAATTCAGGGGGTCCCAGCGGCCCCCAACCACTCCCGCTCTACGATCCATCTCAACAGATGCCACTACCGTTGGTTGTAAGATAACAGTGGCTCTGATAGCTCAACTCTGGGCCCCCTGGCCCCGCCGGACAGGGGGCCGAGTGCTTTCCGTGCCTTGTCTCCCACCGCACTCCCAGCTCCACAAAGAGGCATAGCCCTGTCTCCAGATGAGAACAATGCAGGCCCAGGGAGGTTGGGCCCCTTGCCCGGGTCAGCAGGTAACTCTAGGGAGGGCGGCCTCGCCCAAAGCTGAGCTGTCCCAAAGCCTGTGACCCAGCACAGCCTTTCTCCCCCCCAGCCTCTGCCAGTCAGGGTCAGCAGCCCCCGGCCCCAGCACAGCCCTGGGGGGTGGGCTGCTAAAGAGGCCTTCGGATTTCCTACAGGAGCCCTCGGCACACCGCAGACCTGGGGCGGGCACCCTTGGGAGACCTGTGGGCCCACTCGCACTGCCAAGGTGGTTTACAGGAGACAGCCAGAGCCTCTATTCTGCTTCATGCATCAGCTTCACCATGCTCGGTAGAGGTCCAGAGAAACAGACCCATGTGGGGGCTGTTTCTGAACAAAGCAGAAATAAGTCAGCACGGCTCTGCAGCTGGCGGGAGCTGACACCCGCAGTGCCCAGAACAAGCTGTTTCTAAATTACAGACCAAGACATGGTAGATGAAGGCTATCGGCACATAAACATCTGGGTTTGCAGCCACTTTTCTGACCTCTCCCTCTTCTTCCGAGCTTGTCTGTCACCTTTCTGGGGTCTCTATCTTTACCTCGGCACTGGGATTTGGATGGTTAACTGCCCTTGGTGTTCGTGGTGATTACACATGCAAATCCCCATGCTCAGGGGTGAAAATATGACCCACAAAGGGATTTTTTTTTCTGTAATTTTTATTTTAAGTAAATAACCAAGATAGCACTTCATAGTGTTACTAATACGCTGCTCTGTTAAACTCATGACAAACATACTGTTTTCTGCAACGCTAAGTATCCGTTCACTTACCTGACTCTAATTTTGAGCCTTAACCGCTTTGCAAAACCTTGCTTTTTGCTAGATTTAGTATCCCGTGTTATAAGCTGAGAGCTCCTTGCCCTCCGCTCTGCCCTCCTGCCCCTGCCCCTGCCCCCAGCCAGAAGCCAGTGTCAGGCCCTTGGTGCAAACGTGCTGATTCGGGAGAGCTCTGTCTGGTCTCTCCGTTTAGATGATGAGGTAACCGTGGGGAAGTTCTATGCCACTTTCCTGATACAGGACTACTTTAGGAAATTCAAGAAGCGGAAAGAACAAGGACTGGTGGGAAAATACCCTGCGAAGAACACCACCATTGCCCTCCAGGTGAATTGCTATTTTGTTTCTTCTCTTTGCACTAACGATTTGTACAAGCTTATTTGAAATACTAGACAGCTGGCACTCCTGGTTGACAGTCCCGCCAGGAGTTTGTTTTAAACCGAGATACTGCACCCTCCCCAAAAGGCGGACTAGCCATTCTGGGCCACGAGGTAAGTGCTCCCTCCACTGCGCTGTGTCGTGGCCGGGCCCCCAGGACAGCGCGCGCTGCCCACACCCCAACCCCTGCAGGCTTCTCCAAGGCAGCGCCCTCCAAACAGGCGCCCCTGGCCCGGCACGGACGTGGCCGCTGCCACCCGGCACAGAGCTTCCCCCATCGGAACGCAAGCGCTTTGTTTTCTTTCTGTTTGTTCCTTACCCCACTGCTCGTTGGTCTGCGGTCCATTCCAGGAACATCCATCACCTGTGTGCGTGCCTGTGCGTGCATGTGCGTGGTGCGTGTGGGCGGTGTCTGTCTGTGCGTTGTCGCCTGATGGCCGTTAGCTGTGCTGTGCACATGCTGCTCTCTCACACCGGGCAGCCTGTGGTCCCCGGCCCCAGCCTGGCTCCCAGCGCGCGGGTGCTCGGGTTCCAACCCGGGCCGTGCTTCCAGGCTGTAGGACCCTAGGTGAGCCCAGAGCTCTGGGGTGGGCAGTAGACCCAGGGGGTAGGCTCACAATGGAGACCTGGAGGCAAAGGGGCCCAGGAATGGGTTTGTGAGCATAGGTGCTGGTGAAGAAGGAATGAGGAAAGGACTCCAAGACCTAGATAAAGGGAGCCACAGGCTGGCAGGTTGGCAGCAGCCACTGTGTCCAGTCAGAAGCCCCGTCTCTGCTGCTGAAGGGCTTTATGTGCAGTGAGGACGAGTCAGAGATTTTTCCCCATTTTAATTTATTTGCTCTAAACATACATCTGTGTCCCTGTTTTCACCATGTGTCTTAAATCGGGCCTTGTAGGAACTGGTAAGGTTCAGTGTGGAACAAGCCCTCGGCTTTTTTCGGGGGACGGATGCCCAGCGAGGGCTTGTGTTCAAGGTGACGGTGAAGGGAAGGCTTGTCTGTGACTTCGCTGTGGGAGAGACTGTGGACACGGATGCCAGGGAATGACAGACCATGGGTGCAATGCCTGGGGCGTGGCAGTCGGCGACAGCGACTGGCATGACAGCAACCATGTGATCCACAAGGAGTCGCCAGCTCTGCCCAGACCCTGCAGGGTGGGCAGGTGGGCGCCGGGTAGGCCGAGGACACACCTAGTCTGTCATCTCTGCCGCCACGCCTGGTGGGGCTGCCGCAGGCCGTGGGGTCTGTGAGCACAGCTCTCCCACTTCCAGCCCACCCAGCCGGCCAGAGCGATGGCTCTTCTGATGGTGGGTCACACAGACACTGAGAGACGAGCAGAGTGAAAGGGCATGTTTGCCAATTTGAAGAGCCCAGCCATTCTCGGTGGCAGCGTGGCCAAGTTGGGTGCAAGGAGCGGGGTGATTAATGTGTTCCTGAAGGCTCTTCCCCGACGTGGCTGGCCCCATTTCAGAGGCCAGGCGCCCTCTGTGCAGGCACCTGCTGGCTGTGCTTGGATGCTTGGATTCCAGTTGTGGGGTCGGTGGAATTTGATGCCTTTTCTGGAGGGGGAAACATGGTCTTGTACGGACGGCTGTTCCGTAATTGACAGCGCCCAAGGTAGCTCTGTGGTCTGAGCCCCTTGTGCTTTCTGTGGAAGGCAAGCATGGTGATCCCCTGGATGCAGAGTTCTACCTGCTGGGCATCAGGTGGCTTTAGTGCTCTGGTGGCTGCACACAGCGTTCTGATGTTTTAAAACCTGAAAAACAAGACATGGCTGCGGACTTAACAACCACATTTCATGGATGGGCTTTACTGAGCTTTCAAGTCAAAGGTTCAGATGATGCTAAAGCTGCATTTGTAAGTCATGGACTGAAAGACTCCATTCCATTGTGTTACAGTAACGTTTTCCTCCTACGCGTTTAGTCATTTTGTTGTTTATAGAAAGAACTTCATTTCCTTAGTGAGATTCAAATATTTCCAGTTATAGGATAATAACACCTTTTCACACGGCCCCCTGGGAGCTGAGGCTATGACTGTAACTCAGGTTGAGTGCACAATCTAGAAAATTAAGTTGTGTTCATAATCGTGACATTCTGAAATGCATTTGATTCTGAAGCAAACATCAAAAATAGAACCCTTTTGTCTCCTTAAAGGATAATTCTAATTCCATTTTTGGCTTCCTCTGCTCTAGAAATGGCTTTCGATGTGACCTGTCACTCTACGTTCATTAGCACAAGGAGGCCATTCCTTCCTGCGTGATGGAATGTTGTGTGATGGCATAGCAGTTAGGGACACGGGATCGCATGGGACGGGCATGAGACGCGTGCTCACATCCTTGCAGGAGCCCTCAGGGTGGGCATGGCCTGCTGAGAGGGGGGATGAGTCGCTGCTCCTGCTGGCCACCCCACGGGGACAGAGCGCTTGCTCATGGAAAGTGGAGTGTGGGCATGATGGTGTGAGCACAGAAGGCGGGACCCAGGCCTGCGCGTGCTCGTACGGCACAGAGCAGCCTATCGGTATGGCCGCCACCTCTGCCCTGGGGGCGGCGCTCAGGCACGCGGCCACACTACGGGTTTCAGCCCGGGGCCTGTCTGGTCTCCCTCTGTGCAGAATGGTTGTAGGAAGACAGTGGCTTGGGGAGCTCCTGAACCCCGTGTGGGCAGGAGCTCAGCACCCATGTCCTCTGGCCCCTGCGGTCTGAATGAGTGTGCAGTCTCCATCCATCATCCATCCTCATCACGAAAGCCAGCCTTCTCTCCAGCCCTCCGCAGAGGGACGCAGAGAAGCTGCATCAGGCCTGCCTTCCTCGCGCATCCCCTACATGCCATGGTCACTTTAGTTTGACTCAGCATTTGCTCTTCATCCATTATTGCTGCATCCGAGTGCCCTGCACGTCTCCACGAGGTGCCAAGAGATGGGCACACAGCCCTGCAGCTGCAGAAATGCTCAGGCCCCTTCCCAGCAAACAGCAATGCCTGTCAGGCCCCCAGGGGAGGACTTCTGTGCAAGAACCAGACGTGAAGCTCTCCAGGGTCTCATAGATCAGAGCAAACAAAGACCCGAAAGGGGGAAAAGTTCTGTTCATTTCTTTTTCTTTCTACATGGAAGGATTTCCTTTTTGCAAAAGATACTTTAATGAAAATTGTGGAGACTTTGTCCCCTACTCCTGCCAGGTGGGAGCCTGCCCATGCTAATGACAGGGAGACTTCACACGGGTTGTCTTTTTGACCTGTTTAAAGTTGGGTTTAAGAAAGAGACCATTCTTTCCAGCTAGTAAAGAATTAGGTTGTTAAATTTCATGCTGTTAAAGCCCGTTCCCCTGCCAGCAGATGGTAACGTAGGCATCAAGTGGAAAGGTGGGTGGTGTGCAAAATCAAAGGACTCTTAGGCCCTGATGCGCCGGGATGCGGCCCCCTTAGGGCGGCTCAGGGCAGAAAGGCGGAGGAAAGGGGGATCTGCTGCAGACAGTCAACCTGTGGATCACCAGGCACTGCTCTCTCGGCACCGTAGTCTAAAACGTAGCAAGATTTTTTTCTTTTTTTAAAGCATGATCCTATCTAAAGCCATAAAAAGGCACCCCCCACCTTTTTCTTTTTCTTTTTTAATCTGGAGAACAGATGCTGATAGATGAGATTTCACTGGCTGATTCGTTTGTTTCAGATGCTTGAACGGATGCTTTAGAGTTTTCAGCCTGAGCTGCAGCACCAAAGCTCCTTAGTCGGAAGGCGTGTGCGGCTAAGGCCTTGAAAGGGAAAAGTCTCAAGTGGGCTTATTTCTCCAGAAACAGCATTTCGGAAGAAATGCAGGAAAAGGCAGATGCGAGGCCCCAGGGAGCCCCCTTCCCAGCAAAGCCCTCCTCCAGAAGGTGGAAGCGGGCCCTGGCCTCCTGTCTCAGATGCTGCTTGTGTGGCCATTTTCATGAAAAGGGACGTGCGAGGCTTAACAGTGTCCCTTCCGAGCAGAGACCCAGAGAAAGGGGGAGAGAGAGAGAGCGAAGGAGACATGAAATGAACACAGCTTCCTGACGCTGGCCAGTCACAAGCAGACTAAGCAGAGCTGCCCAGGGGGCAGCTGACTCCGCGCCACAGCCCTGCGCCCCCAGTTTGCCCGAACGCCCGTAGACCGCAGGCCCCCTGGCGCCGCGCTGGTGACTCCTCCCACACGCCAGTCTGGCCTGGCCTCGGCTCTCGGCAGTGACCCAGCTCAGAGCGCGGTGGGCGGCGGCCACTTACCCAGCACACACACCCGCATGCCAGACCCACCAGGCCACACCTCAGGTTCCACTTTAACATGTCCACGGGAGACGCCGCCACCCCCAAACCTCATCTGACATTGTCCGTGTTTATTCGTTGCTCGAAGCCAGGCTGGGGTGCCTCTTTGGAAGCAGCGTGGTCTAGTTCCCAGGACACTGGGAGTCAGGGAGCCTGGGTTCTAGTCCCAGCTCCAGCACCCACTTGCTGTGTGACCGTGGGCAAGACACTTAACCTCTCTGTGCCTCAGTTTCCCCATCTGTAAAATGGGGGTAATAATGTCGACCTACCTCACAGGGCTGTTGTGAGGAATAGCTAAGTGATTGTAAAGCACTTTGAACGCATAATCGCTTATTATTAAGACTACAACAATAATAATATCGTATGCCTGTTTACTACCAGAACTTTCAGAAATTCCTGTTTTTCTTTGCTCTCTGTTCTATGCCATATGGTAGTTATCCCTTGAGAAAGAGCTTTCGCCCCTGTTTAAGAGGCAAGGAAGGGCAGGGAGATGTAAACGGATGCACCTCGACAGCGTGGCTGTACATCTGCCAACAGCAGGTGTCGCCTGGGCAGCTGCTCCGCGACGGCTCAGCCCATCCAAGCACTGGCTGAGGAGCCTGTACACCTGATGCTGAGCCCAAGGTACCCATGGGAGCCAATCTGAGTTTTAAAATCATTATTCAAAAGGAATTTTAGT